GACTATACCATTTTTCCAAAGTCTGTGTTTTTTTCCATTTTGCCAAATTTCCAATCGCAATAACTTCAAAATTCATGGACAGCCTTCTAGGGCTGTTTTCCTGTAGCTTCCATCCGTATTACGCCATAACAATCAAAATGGAATGAAGAAATGAAAGTTACATAAAGTATATTCACATTTTGTGTTGGCAAATAAAAATTCGTTAATATGATAATAGTATTAAGTGACTAACAATTTATGCAATTTTATTTTAAGTTTAGCTCAGTTAAGGTCTTTTGGTAATTTATTAAATAAAATTGATTGAGGGGTTACTATATGTATATAAATTTTGTCTTTTTGTAAAATTCCATATAAGGCCGTTGTTTGGACTGGTTTGGACTTTATTTTATTAGACGCATTTCTAGAATATCCAGTATTAATTAATTATAGTTACCTAACGATAAGATGTATAGTTCCCTAAAGTAACCTACCTAACCCTCTCACTGAGTGACACAAAACATGAACCTGAAATATTTCTTTTGTGTTGTATATAATGGCAAAATATGCATTGCAGCCGCATCCCCCCCGCCTAATTGTCCATATCGCAAACTAGTGACTACATTCGCATGATATGTACCAAGTTTTTATTTATTTAATAGCTCGGGCAATATTAAAAGTGATTTTCTCTTTAGCTCAACCACACTATATATATATTCTGACACGACACTGCCAACCTGTTACTGCCATTTGTAATTGTAATCTTGGGACTTCTACGAGTTCATTTTGAGGTCATCATACGCAGTGTCGACGCGTGAGCATTTAATAATATATATACAGTTTTGGACAAACTTAACAATAATATACTCCCGGACACGTAATTCGAGCCACCTCGCGTTTTTGCCTTAAAGGACTAGAATACAAAAACAGTGTTATCATCGAAGAATAAGGTTTCCCCCGGTTTTGCAAGTCCAAATTTCCAACAAGGACTTATGGAAAAGACTTTTAATATACTAGTTTCAAAATTGCGTACGTAGTATTCCTGATCAATTATATAACAACTTACGGTTGCATTTTGGAAAGCGGCTTTGCTACGTAAATACTGTTTTAATGGTCTATATCACTGACGGAATTAAAATAGCAATTTTCGGGTGATTTTTGTAAAACCGTTTTTTCTTTCGGTCTTAAATGTATAAATAAGTAAAAATAAAGACAATAATTATAAAATCACACGAATATTGAAATGAAATCTAAGAAAAAAGATATTTGTGGTCTTTCTCACTCGATCGAGTTTGCTGTAAGACCATTTCAATGTGTAAGACGAATAAATTTGTCATAAACCCAAAATAAGACAAGACAACACGTTATCAATACCATCTGGGGCACCTTTTCCGACAAGTCTCTCAATATTTATTGTTAAAGTTGTTTTGCAACTGCGTCTGTGTTATCCGTGTAAAATTTATTCAGTAGTGCAACTTAAAAGTTGGCAAAATAGTACAGAACATTGCGATAAAGTCTTGAATTTAGAAGTTCCCTAATTAATATACAATAAAGTTCGGGCAATAACAATTTTTTTTTTTTTTTTTTTTTTTTTTTTTTTTTTTTTTTTTTAACTCAACATAGCCCCGCACTAGGGAAACCCTGTGTCGCGGGTGCCATGGACATACACATATAGACAACCACAAATTACACCCAAACTCACGAGAGAAATAAATGTAGGCCATACAAACATTTCTCCCGGCCCGGGAATCGAACCTGGGACCTCTGCGTGGCAGTCCGGCATGGTAACCGTTCGGCCACGGAGGCAGTTAATAACAATACTTATTTACATACATGATATCACACGAATGAGAAGAATTTTGTTACAAATACTGAAATTAGCATTTAAGTTGATTTCTGCTAAAACGGAGATGCACTCACAATGAACATTCGCGTGGGTGAAGTTTGAGGATGATACGGTATTAACTTTTATTATTAGGTGATTTCTAGTTGAGTTTACACTATTGAATGATACAAAAATGTGAACACATACGCCCATGAAAACATATTTGTTTGTAATAAATTGGGAACTACTTATTTATTTTTATTTTATGATACCAGGTGACGGGACGAACAAGTCGTGCCTTTGATGGTAAGTGACACGACTGTTCATAACAGGCGCAGTGCCGCTCAGAAAATAATAAATAAAATACGATTTGTAAATATTCGACGTAAAAAGTATGAAGATTATCCTCGATGAGTGAAATTACGGTTATTTAATTTTATTCTTTATTTCGTAAACTTAGTGAGACGTGGAACCAGGTGTCACGAATGAGAAATTACTTTATGACATGTTATTTATTACTGTAGCACAACAAAGTTATCTTTTCGATCAATTAACACTTCGCCAACTTAATTTCTGATCCTGTTTTGTTTTTATTTTGTTTTTTGTTTCTTTATATTTTTTTTTCAAAAATTCGGGGAGCCATAGTATTACTAAATGAATATGGCTGTTTACAAAAATAACAGACAATGACCAAATAATAAAGTTGGCTTTAGTGTTCATTGGAGGGATCGTTTTGATGTGTTCCCTAGACTAAATAAACAACTAATCATTAGTATAATCATGTAATAATGCAAAAGTTACAAAAAGGCACATTCGACGTACTTCGAAAGCGAACCTTAAGTGCTTGTTAAAATCATGTAAATAAATAAATATTTGGTAATGTTTTTTTGTTATAATTATTATAGAAATGCAATCTTTAAGTTTCAAAATCGAAAAACTTTGACGTAAGATTTCTCCAAAACGATATATAAAATTGGTAACTTGCTAAGCTTCTGATGCTGTATCTTATATCTATAGATATTTAATCATTGTTGTGTATAATTAGGTATCAACATACTTTCGACAAAGACGAAAATAGTGTATTCTAGGACATAATACAATGTTATTATTTCTTTTATTTATTTAAAAGGAAAGCTCTCAAAATTTAAACTACGTATCAATTAATTTTATTATGTTAATCTTAAAAGTACATAGTAAAGTGATGATTTTTTGAAACTTCTTGAAAACTTTATGGAACTTTTGATGTAACACTTGAAGATCTGTTATACGGTGAGTCCAATGACATGCCAACGTATTTACACTGAGTAGTGGGTGGTAAATAATAAGAACATTGATGTGATGTGTAGACGTGTAGTAAATACGTAAACCGTAAGTAATGTTTGGCAGTGTATTAACACCTACGATTCAGGGCTAGGATGGGAATAGCTCGAACGAAAGCTATTTGTAGCGATGTTTGCCCGATCGATGTGCAAGCGATGCAACATGTTCGGGGGATTGGATAAAAGCATTTTTTATTATGGGACTTCATACTACTTAGTTCTGCTGAAATTTGAAATACTCAAATGAATTTCGGCTTCTTTGGCAGCCTCAAAGTCAGGAAGAGTAGGTACCTTTTTCAACTTCACATAATTTTAGGACTTTTATTCTAGAGAACATCCCAGTCCTATTCTAAGTGCCACGGAAAGTGGGTGTAGTTTTCTTGTAGTTTCTTGTAATGGTAGTAGGAAATATAGCAAATTTTGCTTAAAGTTGGTTTCTGGAGAAAAACTCGGGAATATTTGTACATAAACATAGGTCATTATGCGGAAAACAAAGAAACAATAGCCCGCTCTATCGCATAAAGTTTTTAACTACAATAAAGTCTCAAAATAATATAGGTACATTGATTAAAAAAGTGAGTTATTGTGTAAGTGAGTGAGTGGTTTAATCTATGATACTGTAAAATGCATCTTCCAAATTAAATAACAAGTATTATTGCATTAAAAAAAAAGAAGGGTTGAAAAAGCCTAGAAACCTTGGCTTAATTATTGCCCTAAAAATTAATAACAGATTGTGATCGATAATTACTCGTTATCAAACAAAAATACTATAAGTATACCTTAAAGTTGGTAAATGAATTAAATGATTAAATGATTTCTCAACTTTTCTGGATCATTAAGCAATACAAGAAAAAAGGAAATAATGTAGATAAGTAATACTGGTATTGTATTGTTATTTTCTACTAACAAGGTATTCTAAAAAAAAAACACTAAAAAGTTTGAGAAGCTTGTAGTTTTTCGAAATCACTTTCTACATGGACGTCGCTACATCTAACTGTAGTCTCCTACTACGGACGTGTTAAGCTTTCCAAAGAAAACATAAGAGTACGGATCAAAAGAATATCGGTGTAAGTTATAGATACTACAATGTGCCTACTGTTGAATGTAATTTTATTAGGGGACCCTTTTTTACTTAGTCCGTACCTAAGAATAAGTGTGAAATATCGACGCGATTTAGCCCGCGTACCTGTGCATACTCGCGCCAAGCTATTTACCACCGTGACAGCTGGCATTTGTCACTGCTGAACTGCTAAAGTACGGTAAAGATCTGGGGCCTGTGTAAGTTTCAATTCTTTTTTATGCCTATTCCTTCTTTTGAATATTGGTTAAGATACTTAAGAAGTACAGTCAACAGTATATCACCATTGATGGAATATCGCATCCAGTGTAACGGAACAAGATCCGTCAATGAGTAGCTTGATGTGGTGTCATCTGTACCTACAATCGTTTTGTGAATCACACTACCTAGTCGAAGTTTTTATTCGTGTGGTGGCGATGTAAGTAATATACCTACTTCAATATTGAATGCCTACTTGGTGGGGTGGTATTCTTATCTATTGTATTTAAATTCGAACTCGACTTGCATACGCCAGGACTGGAGTAGGTAAGATGTTTTATTGATAACAGGCGTGTCAATTTCTTTGTACCACTTCATCTCTTTGTTTATTCTGTATTTATAATTAATTTCGAACGTATGTGCATTCATTGGTAGTGGCATGAGTTAATTGACACGAGCTGAATAGAGTGCAGGAACGAACGTCTCGTCGGTCGCGGTCATACTCCCCCCTTACACCGGGGTCGCCACCGCCCGTGGGCTGCGCTTGGCACGCGCACAGTGCTGAATATTGCCGAAAGCTGCGGTATCTAGGTGTAGCTTCGGCGCGGGGAGGGCCTTGTTCGTGCGCCAGTACCCCTCCGACCAGCGATGCTGTGCTGTCTCCGGAAATAGAGTACGTCCGACGTTTTCGCGTGCAGTGTCGCGAGCTACCCGCTGTCGGCGGAGTCAATTAATATCGCTGTTATATCGCAGTTAACGATAGAGCCGTCATTGTATTATTTATGAATTGTACTTGTCTTCTTAACCCCAATTTTGCGAGACAGCTCTAGGTAACTGCGGTTTAACAGCGGTCGTTTTAACTCGGGTTGCATTCCTATGGTATGCGAGTCGTGTTGAGCCGCGGTTTAGGAATCGATTGTTCAGTGTAGATGTAGATTTATCACGTTCATAGATCGGCCGATCGGGTGCGCGAGTGTGAGTGCAAATGACTGGTAGCCCGACTTAACGGGCCGAACTTTAACAAAATGTGGACCAAGAAATTAACGTTATGGAGGTTTATGTTTTGCATACTGTTCGCCGTGTCGGCGGTGGCGATCTCGGCGAGAGGTGAGTCCTGAGTCCAGCGCCTTTGGCCCGCACCGCACGGCGCGCATTCGTAGCGCACGCGAGTGGGAGCTACAGCTGCGCTCGCGCTCTGCGTCACTGCCACTGAAGCTATTTTCGGCGTAACTTGCGCTGAAATTATGTAAAAAGCTCGCGTATATGCTCTATTTTTGGCGATAGCCTTAGGCGAACTTCTCTGTGACTAAATGGTCCACTAACCTAGATGTAAAGATTTGCGAATTGCTTACGATTTACCGTATATCATGTGCGGCTAATATGCCGTGAACGTAGACAAGAGTCGCAGCCGTTATCGCTTCCTACCTCTCCAAGGTACGTAAATAGAAATACAGGGGTTTGTCGCTGTGCGTCGCCATCTTGTGAAAAATGATAGGATCGTGACGACATTATAAAGATGAGGCATAGAAACAGATCGCAAAATATTTTTTTCAGCTCTGGTCTGGTTTAGTTACGAAAGGAAATTAGTATCTAGGCACGAATATGTGTATGTACGATCTAAATTAGGGCGAAAGTTCTGACCGTTTAGGCAACACTGTAAACATTTTAGTTTATTGTTGTATTTATAGACGTCTAACAGGTTCTTAATATTCGTATGCATCCGCATTTTTGTCAGTGTTCATAAATAATACAAAAAAATGAATCTGCACTGTTATTTTATAATATCCTGAACCTAAAGATAATGTGCTGAAAGAACGCTTAAATTTAAGGAGAAGCCATTAAGAGCCTTCATTTAAGGATCAGAATATGCAATATGTGTACAATACGCGCAACACACAAGCAATAGTTATGAAACATTTACAGAGTTTAAACAGAACACACTTCTGATACAGAAATCCCACTTATTTATTACGTCCTCCATTCACAGTTCGTAATAAAACACACGTCGTTAAATCTAGTGGCGACGTTTATTCCTACTTGAAGAAAGGCGATGGAACAAGGTCACTTTCATGACTGGACTGGTTTTTAGCGCCGTATCTATTATAATCAACACAGAAAATAATACCAATGACTACCTACTTACATCTTCAAAGAAGGCATAAAATAAATATTTATTCTAAAACAGGTAGGTACACAAGGGACTTGCTAGAAAATATAAAGTTTGAGTAAAGAAAATTGAACACTGCTTCATAATGTTAATGACCTTGTGTTTTTATTTGTAAAACGTGTTTTCAATCATCCATCATCTTTTAAAAAATATAAAAGTATACTTAATGTACAAGAAAATACCAGTAACAGTTTTAAACAGAAAGCATCAATTTTAAACACTAATCAGGGAATTTAATAGATAGATACCTAACAATGTCGAGGATGATTTGTGAAGTTGCGTAATTGCTCTGTAAGCAATTATGAATTCATATCACGATTTTTTTGGGTTTCGCAGTAAATTTACGAAAATCTTATGGTGCTACCCGGTACCCGTATGGAGGTAAAGGCAGTTTTTTGAACAAATTGTCTACATGATAACGTAGAAAAGATGCCTGCATGATATAATGATGATAGACAGTGGCATTTTATGAATTTCTTTACCACAAAACTAATAGTGAAAAAAAAAATTGTTTACAATGAAGGAAAATAACAGCTGGCTATTGCGACTTTCAAATAGTTTTAATTTTATTTGCGAATGCGTTTTAAGATATCTAAGGTAAGTGCCCAAATAAAATAAAAAATGTTTTTTTTTGTTTGCAGCTGACGACGACGTTCCTTCAGAATCTCAATGCCGTCCATACATCGAGAAAGCTCTGAAAGAGCTCGAAACAGGAGATGCGGAACACGGTACGTTGTTTTGAATATAGTACACTGATTTTCCTGAAAATACACACATACTTATTATTATTCAACTATCTCAAGGAAATAGAAAAATTGAGTGGCAAACATTGTACATAACAAGGTTTTTATCCCAAATTATGATTAATTTGAATCCCCTGTTATGTAATTTTTTTATCAGGCTGTGACAAAAAGATATTGCTTACTGTGACATTCTTTGGAGTTCCCAAAACTTTTTGAGATAGAAGATTTGCTAATTTATGGAGGCCATCTTGCTGAGGTGTCTAGATTTCGAATATTTTTGCCTTTCCGTAGAAATTGCCCTGGATGTAACTTGTGAAAGTGCAAAGATATCTCATCCAAGCATCAGATTTTGCAGGACGTTGACGACCAATATGTATATGTATGGCTTAATAGAACATTACCATACTATTTGCTGACTAAAATCTAAGCGAAAGTACTAAGTTCCTTTCATGTTAATTTCAAGAATGTACGAAGACTGTAGAATCTTCATAGTATAAACTATGGATTTGAATAACGCAGTAGGTATAGTGTATCGAACTAATATCACCTCAATGTTTAAACTTTATATTTAATTAATTAATGAAGTAGTTAAACTACAATAAATACCTAGCAATATTATAGAACGAAATAATTGCCTACTTGATGTTAATAACAGATCAGTCTTGGCTTAAAAATGTTAATTGTTCAGTAAAATTGTCAAAGTTTATTCATGAAAGACATTTTTCTGGCGACGACGACGTTCTAAAACTTGCTACATATATTATAGTACGCTACTTGCAGAATAAAAAATAAACTGATAGTTTCTAAACCCCTACACCCATGTGTAAACACGTAAAATATTTACGGCAAACTAAAAGCATCGAATGAAACTGTTTCCTCGAATTTAGCGGCAAGAGTATAGTGAAAATGTGCGTTAGGGCGGCCTAGTGACTCGAGTTCGGATTGACACTAGTTGCAGTTATATTTGCTGTAGATTCTATTTTAACTACGGCAGATCGAGGCAGTTGACGTCACCCATATATTGTGCTGTTCAATAATAGACACCGCTCAACTAATCAACCACTAGCGAGTGAATGAATCATTATTATAAACTTTCATAAACAGATAATATCTAGTGTATTGACCAATGAAATGTGGAGCAGCGCGATGTTTTAGTCATGCTTCAATTACTAGACAAAATATAATGGCATGAACTTCAGTAAGTAATACATATAAGTTAAATAAGCAAATACATAAGTTAAATAAGCAAATAGTAATTTTTCTTCAGTGATACCTGATTACGTATATATGCCGACATCTTTAGGCGAGTGTTCATCGTAGTAAAGTCTATTTTTAAAACAGAGATCAAACATGTAAACAAATATGGCCGATTCTCAACAAATAATAACAAAACACAACAATCAATTTCAAATTGTCACTTTATGATGAACAATTATAGGTGGAACAATTATATAACATCATGCTAGTGTTATATTTGATCATAAACTACAGTTTATGATCAAAAAGTGATCATGGAATGTTAATAAAAACGTTATATTTAATTTTGTAAGTAATTTTATTTATGTAAATATATAAAACGGAAGCTAAATTAACTATATCAGAAAATTTGTTCCCTTTCAAAAAATATTTGTGATAGGTACATACCTTTGCAAAAACCAAAGGACTTTGAATGCCTATAATAAAACAGACACCACACTAAATTACTTAATGCACTTTACAAGAATACATGAAATCTGGATCATTTCAATCAGCGCTATACGTCTCGGTCAAAATCTAAGAAAACGTGATTGATTGATGCAAGATTATTATAAACAACATAGAAAATATTTTGAATTCGTGTGCCTATGCTATGAAGGTGAAGAATAAATTTATTTTGATCGTTAACACTAGCTAGTCCTAAATTAGGACAGTTGATATAGTTATTTACAAAACTTAAACGTTACATTATCATTGTCCTCCAAAAAAAATCTTGTAACATGGCCGACTAAAATTAAAGTTTTATTTATAGGTCACGACGTTCTACCGACATTCGTTTGGCCGTCAAGGCAGTCTGATTGCTATGAGTCGAAATTTTTAATCTTCAAAGAAATTTGTGCGAAGTTCAGCCGTGTACGAGTATTGATTTCCCGCTTTCCTAAGTATTAAATCAGTAGTTTTATAATAAATCAAGGTCCATTTCACTAATGCCCACACATATTTGTAACGTAAATTCAATTGTCACTAATTACAGATTCCGCAGAAAGAAACGACAGTAGTGAAGTAAGCGTAGATGACGATACGAAAGAAGCAACTTCAGCGGAGGACGGCGGAGATACAGCAGATGTAGACAATAGTAATGAGGACGATACACCTTCAGTAGAAGTAGCTGACGAGCCATACGTATCTCAAGCATCCGTAGAAGACGTGGAAAGTGGCGCTGACGACAACGACTCGAAAGATGACGCAACAATAGAAGAAACCGACGGTGAGAGTGCAGAGCAGCAGGCCGATGACAGTAAAGAGGATGATGACGACCAGGCCGACGGAAAAAGCGTAGACTATGAGGATACCACCAAAGAAGAAGGAGACAGCAAAGAGGAAGCATCTGCTGATGAACAAACAGCTGAACAAGGTAAATAAACAGTTGTGATTAAAAGTCGCAATCATAACAATTTGCAACTACCAAATACAAAAAAAATATTATTTTTATTTTATTGTTTAAAATATTTATCCAGAGAGTGGCGATGAAACGGAAAAAGCTGAAGCTGACACTACCACCCAGGAAAGCGCTGATGAATCGAAGGAAGATGACGAGGATGACAGCAAACAAGACGAACAGTCAGAAGACGAAGCAGGTGACGATGCGAGCAAAGAGTCTGAAGATGGAAGTGACGGCGATGCCCAGTCTGCCGAAGATGATGACAAATCACAAGAAGAATCTGCTAAAACAGCTGAAGAGGATAGCAAAGAAGATGATGCGGAGAACGACGATGGATCTCAAGAAAAGGCTGAATCTCAAGAGGAGGGCGAACAGGCTGTTAATGAGGATGATGGAGAAACTGATGAGGTAAAGGACGAGTCTAAGGAAGAGGAAAAAGAAGACACAGAAGAAACAGCTAAAGCTGCATCTGCTGAAATAAAAGACGACACAGAAGAGGCTGGAGGCGAATCTGCTGAAGAGGGAGCTGACGATGGGGCAGAGAAGGAGTCGGAAGAAGCCACAAAGGAAGAAGCTGACGAGAGTAAAGAGGAATCTGAAAACGCTGATGAAGAAGGAGCAAAATCTGAAGGAGGCGATTCTGAAGGAGATGAAACTGAAGAAGGAGGCGAAACTGAAGAAGATGAAGGAACACCCGAGGAAGACTTGTTATTTGTAAGTTTAAAATAAATAAATAAATTTATATAAAAGTATTATACAAAAACCCTTAAAGTATTTAAATTTAATAAATAAAGTACAACATTACATTCTATTTGTTACAGATCGGTGAAATTCCTGAAAACCTAAGATCTCGTGACCACATCAACCAAATCTTGAGACTAGATGAAGAAGCTAGCGAAGCAGAGATTACTATAGAGAGATCAGCAGATATTGTATTGAGAGACTTGAAAAGACTCTATGAAAATTCTATTAAACCTTTGGAAGTTCTTTACAAATACAGAGACTTGAGTAACAGGCACTTCGGTGATCCAGAAATATTCTCCAAGCCGTTAGTACTTTTTATGGGACCGTGGAGCGGTGGAAAGTCCAGTATAGTGAACTATTTAACAGGGCTTGAGTTTACAAAATGGGCTCTGAGAACTGGTAAGAAAAAAATTAAGTTGAGTTAATGATTCTAAGAGTTAAGTTAAGAATACTGTAAATCAACTGATTATTTTTCTGTAGGCGCCGAGCCATCCCCTGCGTATTTCAATATCTTGATGCACGGAAAAGACCCCGAGGTTTTAGATGGAACACAAATGGCTGCGGATTGGACGTTCTCAGGACTACAAAAGTTCGGGCAGGGGTTAGAGGAGCGTCTTAGGGGCCTAAAGTATCCCAGCAAACTATTAGAAAAGGTAGAAAATAATATTAATATGTGTTTTTCTTTCTAGAAAATGGAAAGGTTCGAAGGTTTAAAATTTTATATGTTTTAAATGAGCATGTTTTTTACAGTTAATCTGATTTCGAAACTTAAATCTAAAGATTAAGAAAAATATAGAGGGCTTTCACCTTGGAAAGCATTTTATACTTGCCGACAAGGAGGTACGTAGATATCCCAATATCGCTTCCATAATGAATGTATTTTGGTATCGCAGGTGAACATTGTAGAAATCCCTGGAATACTGGAAGTGAGAAAGCAAGTGTCACGTGTATTTCCCTTTAACGACGCATGCCAGTGGTTCATCGATCGTGCCGATATCATCTTCCTCGTGTACGACCCGTCAAAACTCGACGTTGGCCCCGAGACGGAAGCAATCCTCGACCAACTCAAAGGCAGGGAATCTCAGGTCGGGACCAAACGTTTTAGATAAATATAGTTTAAAAGTTCATCGTAAGTAAGGAGCGGTTAAAATGAGTCATTAAATTGTTACCTTGTGTATTGTTTAAATGTAACGTTCCTGTGTGCACAGTATAAGTATTCATATTGTAGTAGTACCTATTTATTATTGGACAAATTGAGGTAACTAAGCAATGCCATGTACGGTGTTGCAGACACGCATTGTGTTAAACAAGGCAGACACAGTGAAGCCGGAGGAGCTGATGCGTGTGCAAAGCGCGCTGATCTGGAACATCTCGCCGCTGATGAGCTCGGCGCAGCCGCCGGTGATGTACACGGTGTCGCTGTGGTCGATGCCGTACGAGCCTGGTGCGCCGGTACGCCTACTGCAGGCTCAGGAGCGTGAACTGCTGCGCGACCTGCGACAGGCCATAGACAAGCGCATCGAGAATAAGATTGCGAGCGCAAGAAGATTCGCGGTAAGTTTTAACACTTTCGATAAACTAGAAGGCACTTTGTTGTTGTTTGTTGTGAGTTATGATTTTGGTGCGCTAATTACGACCAAATGATAATTGCAAAGGTTTCAGTAACGTCATCGTCGATCGACTCCATTTTCGTTAAATTTGACCCGCCTGTCACTTATATTCTATGTATATGATTACAGCGGAAGATTCAACGAGTAATTGAGAATATTAAAATATGTATTCAGAAGTGTTCAACCTGTAATTATCACGTATATTTTTCATTTTTCTTTGTTTGTTTTACAGGTTCGAGTGAGAAATCACGCAAAGATGGTTGATTGTTATCTTACCACATACTACAACCACAAAACCATATTTGGCAACAAGAAGATTATCGCCGATGCTATCATCGAAAATCCTCAGAATTACCATATCTACGAGGGGCTCAGCACACTTACCAACATCTCCAGGTCAGCACACAACTTTTTCTATGAAATAATTTATGATTTCTTCAGAGCGTAACTTTACCATTTAGTCGCGTTACTTATCAAACTCGTATCTTAAAACACAAAGTCACTGAAGTGCAAAAAATGGATTGTATATACAAATTTTGCGGGGTGATTTCACATCACATTTCCCTCATATTCAGACTGGCTTTTTCCTATTCTTAAAGTAATGCATCCAAATTAACACCCTTGATAAGAAATTTAAAATAAATAGACATTTTTGCCATGTCCTGAATAATTACTCTTTGTAAGATACCAGTGCGAAAAAGTAAGGCATCGATTTGTTCATAAGCGAATGTTTAAACTGATACGCAGTGAAAGTTCGCCAGCTGATTTCCAAACGTGTGTCTATTGAGAATTTTATGACCAAGTTGCTTGTTTCTATTTGTGTAGGTACGATCTGCCCGATCCCGAGACGTACCGAGATTTCTTCAGATTAAACTCTTTGTACGAGTTCCAACAATTGTCTGCCACGTGTACCTATTTCCGCGGATGTCCCATCACGCGACTCGACGTGGCAATCGCTTACGATCTACCTGAGCTCGTCGGAAAGTACAAGAAGATGGTGGAGACCGCCACGCCCCAGGGCATGCCCAAAAGTTGATGCCCCTCCGATCGAACGAACCCCGCGCCGTACTTAACACCCGCTTTTTTATTTTAGCCAATTGGATTGGACACTATTATGTTGGGCACATTTTGCATTTCTTTATAATCGGGCGTCGGAACATTGTTTTTTTTTTATTTTTGTTACATCGCATTTCTGTATTTATTTTTTAAATGTTATTTTGCTTAAATATTCGCTTGTTCCTGTTTTGAGGTGAATGATGTGTCGAATGATAATTATTGTGATTTTCTTGGTGCGTTTATTAGTGAAGGTAGAACGGTAATACGCAAGACAACTTCCAATGTCCTAATTAACACTGTCTTTTTATACAAGTCTCAAAAGGGGAGTAAATTAATCTAGTCATTATGTTAAAGTTTGTTAGTAAAGGTGTTGTTATATATGTATTTATTAATTTATTGAGGTGAGTTCCTACAACAATAGGGCTAATCCCATATTTTGCGGTCTCTGCCTTGATTATTCTTTGTTACTTAGATTTATTGTAATGAGACACAATGTGACTATTTAAGTAAAAATAAAATATAAAAATAAATGGCATTTTATTTGAAGTATTAGAAGACTGCATGTCCCTGAATGTCGTCAAGCTCGAGAAATGGGCAAACATCCAAAAGTCTATGTATAAATAAATATTTGCCTCTGTGTAGCGTATCGAGTAGGTGTTTGTGTTGCGTTTAATACCCATAAAGCTTTTTGAAAAACAAGTAAAGCTGAGAAATAATATGCAATAAAATAATGTCGAAGCTCATTTAACTCATAATTAAAAAAACATCTTTTGTTTATTCGACTTTTTAACATTATATTAAGCTATATTACATGAAGCTATATTACTTTAGGGATTTAAAAAAGTGAGGTTTCGTTTATCATCATTATATTATGACTCACAAGCCTATAAACTTGCTTAATATAATATACGCTTGCCTAACCTGGTCTGCAGATTACGCGTCGAGATGCGGGTATTATCCTTATTAACTGCCTCCGCGGCCGAAAGGTTACCATGGCTGCCAAGCAGAGGTACCAGGTTCGATTCCCGGGCCGGGAGAAATATTTATATGGCCTACATTTATTTCTCTCGTGAATTTGGGTGTCATTTGTGGTTGTCCATGTGTGTGTCCATAGCAACTGCAACACAGGGTTTCCCTAGTGCGGAGCCATGTCAACATAGCCAAAATATGTAGGTGCGTATGTGTGCTATTTAGGAACACTTACAAAAATTAATGTATCAAAGGAACAAGAAGAATTAATGTTACTGCCATCACGATTGATCTATATCAATAAAATATGTAAATACCACAGACCACATACTTTTCTTTCTTCCGTGGTAAATACCTACGTATTAGAATATATTATTTAATAATCACAGACCAATATATAGTTGGTGATGTTAATATAAAAATACTATAAAAGTTAAGACTCTGATTGGTTTTTTTTTTCGGGAAGTTGTAATAGCAACCGAATAATGAATAGCTTACAGGATGGAAAAAAATGAATACTTAATTCGAATGCTCTTAATATCGTGCAGTGAGCGGATATGACAGCACATATACATGGCAAATTTAGACTAAATATGTTAATTCTTAACATAACCGACTAATTAATTATTTCTAATCAGTACTCTACTGCGTGTAATTTAATGTCCAATACGTTGCACTGACCACTATAAATACAATACAATACAAATATCATATAATACACTGAGACAAACACATATTACTAAAAAAAATTAAAAAGAAATGTACAATAGGCGACCTCATTGCTAGATAGCAATCTTTACTACTCAACTTTCGGGTAACAGGAAATCAATAATAATACACATATTAAACATACACAACACAAAAACTTAAATAAAAAAAAAAAAATTCCTATTTAATGTGAAATATGAGGTGTCAGTTTTTTTCTTGTAATATATTATTCAAATATTGATCATGAGCTACAATTATTTTATGAACTTTGATAAATAAATGCATGTCAAGAAATAGCATTGTGTGTTACAAATTAACGCTTCCTAATAATGGGTAGATGGCGCTAATTCTAAGCAAACCAAGAGAATCTATTCAAAAAACTCTGTGCATTAAGCGTCAACTAGTTAATTATTTTGTTATTAGTAGAAATTAGAGTAGCTTTAATAAATATGTGTAAAACAAATTAGTCATTATTATTACAATCATAAATAATTTGGTACTCGTCGCGACATCTAGTGTAGTAAAAATATAGACAATAAAAGAATATCGACAATGAATTACTTTACTCAGAGATGGCGTAAATGAAATGAAATCAATTAATTGTTACTTGTTATAGCTTGAATTCCTTGAGCCTAAGATTAAATACATTTTATGTTTAAGATTTAGGAGAATCTTTTAACGTTAGAATATTTAATTAAAATAACGAACTTGTTACAATATGTAATCTTTGCAGCAAAAATGTAAATTTTCAACATCGAGAACTTAACGAGTATAATGCTTTTAATGTAATTTTCAACCCAAGAGCCCTGGCAACACTGATCGTGTAGTTAGGGATAACGTAGTTCACTAAGTAGTCTGTGTTAGGGATGGACTGGATTCGCTCTGGAACCAGGAGAGAGAAAAGTGTCGTTTTTATTTTGACTTTCAATTATTTTGTGAAATCTAGTTTAAGGTGGAATAGGATAGTGCTATTGTGCCTTAATCGAAGATTAAAACGCGAAATTATACGAATCTAGAACTAAAATACTCGTATCGGCCCGTTCTAAGGAATCCCGAGTCAACCCAAGCACGCCGCCTCAAATTGCCTATCCTCTTTGTGGCGACCATATTTACAGAAATATAATTAAACGTTTATGTTTTCGGCTGAAGGATTTTGTTTCCATGGCCATCAATAAATTAATTAGTTTACTGAATTCGCTCTGGGCGTTTTGGAGGGAAAAGAGTCGTTTTTATTTTGACTTTCAATTATTTTGTGAAATCTAGTTTAAAGTGGAATAGGATAGTGCTATTATGCCTTAATCGAAGATTAAAACGCGAAATTATACGAATCTCGAACTAAAATACCCGTATCGGCCCGTTCTAAGGAATCCCGAGCCAATCCAAGCATACCGCCTCAAATTGCCTATCCCCTTTGTGGCGGTCATATTTACAGAAACATAATTAAACGAAGACATGGCTCAAAAAACTTGTATCCAAGCCAAAATTATTAATAAAAAAAAAGTTTAGTTAACTCTTTGGTCATTTGATGCACAGACCGTTAATTAATACAAGGTTTGACATTTCTTTCTGAATTGTGTCGAATATTTTCGTTTGTTTTTTGAGCTTACATGTGTTAATTAATTATAAGATTATAACAAAGGTATACCTCTTTAATTCCCAGCGAAATAAGTTTTAAGTAATGCATACCGACTTGTCGCCGCATTTACACACAGATGAATGTAATGTTTTGATAAGAAAGTTAATGGATTGTCACACAGAGGTAAATCCATGTGTTGCATAACCATACTTGTTCATTGTTATTAGCTTTACGTACACATTTTTTGGAAATATTCACAAATTAGGCAATATGATGATTATTTACTGTAATAGCAAAACATAACCTTACTTTTTGCATTGCAGCATCCGTTCAGAAAATTTATGGGCTATTGCAATGACTACGATAGAGACATGCGAAAGTGTCTAAAACAGGAACGTCTTCGTCGTCAGAAAGCAAACTTGGACGAGTCGCGCCGGCGCCACGCTGAAATTCGCAATAGAATATTAGCACAAGAGCAAGCAGCGCAGTAATGGAAAGTGACGCGCGAACCAACGGAGGCCTAAAGTTCCCCATATTAGACTCCATACCAGATTTGAATAACATAAAATCATTCACAGAGCGCTATTTCAGTAAACGATATGTACTAAATGTAAATGGCATCAAAAACAATGATGTTATGATCTTGTTCCATTCTAACCGAATTGCTTTGCTCAGTCTAGCTCCGAGCCATTTCTTTTTTAAGAAAGATGAAGAGTACAAAATCAATTTCTGTGTAGGTAAACTAAACAGACTGGCTAACAGTGTAAAGGGTAAAGGTAAAAAAGGAGGCCAGCATTTGATACCGAACTCAGTCATTGGTAAAGTTGAGTACAAGGATGGCACTAGTTTTGACATTCTCTGCTGCATGTCAGGAACATTGGTGGAAATAAATGAGGAGCTTGTGAAAAGCCCTTGCTTATTGAAAAGTTATCCAGATTCAAATGGTTTTATAGCTATTGTCCTTTCTAGCATTAAGATTGCAGACAACACTAAAAATAAAATGTTAACACATGAAGAGTATACTGAAATAATAAAAGATTGTTGCGAAAGTTAGATAAAAGTTCATTGTATATTTTGTTTTATTTCTCTCTCCCCAAACTTAAAATTTTAAAAACCTTTAATTTGAAAGCTAGAAAAACTATGTTACTATAAATTAAAATTGGTAATATTCTGCACAGCATTACACATCATTTCCAATTTCTAATATTCAATACATGAGTTACTCAGGTGTCCCAGACCATGTGGTCCAAAAAAGTAGGTCATATTACCTGTACAGTATTAAGTACCTACAAAATTGGGCTATCATTTGTATTAAAATTATGGCCATTTCTAGAATATTTATGAAATTTCATTTTCTTTAATAGAATAATTTTTACAAATTACTTAGTTTTTCTTCTAAATTATTTAGGTCTTGAGAGGACCAATGGGCTGAAAACCATTTTGGCTTAAAACTAGAATTCTGAATTTTTTTCCAGGTTTATTGTGAATAATTTCAAGGTAGTTAATAACATTATTGTGCACAAACCTCCCAGTACATTTTTTTTTCATAGAGTTGGTCCTAATACAAGACTTAAGAAATAAATGAACAAACAAATCATACGTAAAGAGTCTTACGGCATTTAACGATCTTATTCTGATCCTTCACTATTTAAGATTTTTCAGGCCGAATTGGATAGTGTCTTCACAATGTCATAAAATCCATTAAAAACCTGAAATTTCATAGATATTCTAAAAATGCTACGATAATTTCTGTACTACTAAGGATCGCCCAATTTACACCTGTTACTGAACAGTTAATATGACCTATTCGACATTTTTTTTGACTGCTTGGTCTGGGACATCCTATATAGTAATATTGTATAGCTGAATATAATTCGCTGTAGCAGGACGATAAAATCTTCCCTTTCCCTTAAACCTATCTATTTAATTAGTATATTTGATTACATTGTAGAGATGATGTATTTACTTACGATATGGCATCGTTACCTTATCGCGAGCAACTACTGTTTGACCCGCAACCTTTCATAGCGATAGCGCTCACCCACAGTTATTTTGACAGGCCTACAGTGTGGTTCAAACTATTTTCATTTAAAATGCGCTCGATCGTTTTAAACAGGTTTTTTTTAACCAACACTAAATTGTTACGAACAAGTGTAGTTGTACCTAAAATAATACAAGTACGTTCGCACAGCGGAACCGGCATACAACCGAGGAAAACCCCCTTATATGATTTGCACTTGAAGTATGGAGGTAAACTGGTGGACTTTGCTGGGTTCCTGTTGCCAGTGCAGTACTCTGACATGAGCGTGTCAGCGTCGCACCTATTCACCAGACAAAATGCGTCTATATTCGACGTTTCACACATGCTACAAACAAACGTTCGCGGTAAAGATGCTGTGGCTTGGTTAGAGTCGATCTGCCCAGTGGATCTGAAGGGAATGGCTGATGGAAGTAGTTCATTAACGGTATTCTTAAACGATAAAGGAGGAATCATCGACGACTTGATAGTAACAAAGGTCAATAATGACACTCTGTACGTGGTATCGAACGCGGGGCGGCTTGATGTTGATAAGGAGCACATGGAAACAACATCAACGAATTTCAAGAAAGAAGGTAAAGATGTTCATGTAGAATTTTGGGACGTTAGTGAAAGGGCACTTATTGCGTTGCAAGGGCCGAAAGCTGTGACGATCCTGCAAAAATTGATCGATATTCCATTGGCGGACTTGACTTTTATGACATCACGAGAGGGAACCCTCGCCTCAGTGAAATGTCGCGTAACCCGTTGCGGCTACACGGGGGAGGATGGCGTCGAAATATCTATCCCGGCTGAAAAAGCTGATCAAGTAACAGAGGCTTTGCTTCAGTCGAGTGATGTGAAACTGGCCGGCCTAGGTGCAAGGGATTCACTTCGTTTAGAAGCAGGACTGTGCCTTTATGGCAACGATATTGATGAGAGCGTTACTCCTGTAGAAGCGAATTTAACTTGGTTGATAGCAAAACGAAGGAGGAGCGAAGGAAATTTTCCGGGCGCTCATCTAATTTTGCAGCAAATAAAAGAGGGAGTTAGTAAAAGGAGAGTTGGAATTAGAAGTGAAGGAGCTCCGGCACGTAAAGGAGCAGTCATTAAAAGTGCTAATGGTTCAGATGAAATAGGACAGGTGACAAGCGGGTGTCCGAGTCCTTCATTGGGTGGCAACGTCGCCATGGGCTACGTTATTGAATCGCTGAAAAAAGTGGGAACCGGTTTATTAGTGAACATTAGGGGAAAAGACATTCCTTGTGTAGTTGCAAAAATGCCCTTTGTCCCTTCACAATACTACATCAAGAAATAAATCACCATATTATTATGAAAGTATGTAATATATGTATAATTTTTATTACAAGTAAACATTAATTTATTGTACGTACCACTTAAGAAAATCCTCAAAAGTGTTTGCAAATCAATAAAATAAATAACAATGTTTATCTTGCAAGATAACGATTGAAGACGAGCCCTTATTAAAATGTTCATTATACTTTGAGCAACAATAAGTCGTATTTATTTACAATTAGTAATCTACCTGGCATGTAAACAATAAACGTAAAAACACCACTATCTCAAATTGAGCACTTTTACAAACATTTCAAATGAGGAGCAAGTCACCAAAACAGGACAATTAGGCACATCATATTACATAAAGTTGAACAATAATAAATAAAATAAAACTTGCTTGGTTATTATAATACAATATTAATTAATATTACACTTATCGTGGTGGTGTAGCTAGTGTTTTGAGATCCCAGAGGAAAATAAAAAGAAAAAACTAAAAAAAAAAGCACGTTGCGGGTAACGATTTCTTTCCTATTAGCCCTTTACTTGTTTTATTTACTTCTATTTATTTCTATTTTGTTATCTTCGGGTTAACAACAGTACCTAGTCACATGAATTGCAATTCAGAAAATACACAAGAGTGAAATTAAATAATAGGTAACCACATGTTACAATAATAACTTGCAAAAAAGAAAGTGTTGTATTGTCTGTATAAACAGACTTCACGTCACAAACAGAATAGAGTTTACACTAGGCGTAACTTAAAAAATAACAGTATGATTGAAACCCTAGCTATATCACGCTCACTTTCTCATTTTCAATTAATTGATAACAAAGACAAAAAGGTAAAATAGCTGACACAATTAGCTGTAACATCTCCCGTACCCACAAAAGTTTCGTGTACCTACATAAACAAAAATGGTGCTGCATGAGGCAAGCATGCACAGAAAATTGCCGCATCCCGTAGTCGTTTGTGTCGACAAATGAAAATGTATAACGACAAATAACTATAAATTGGATAAATACAAGGAATGTGAACATTTACCGTCGTCTTTACTAGTAATACTGGTCATTACACTATTAGGCCAGGGTGAAACGTAGCGTTAATTTTACCACTTTATTACGCACGTGCTATGACGCATGACAAGAAAAAAACTACAGTACACACTATAGGTTTAGCACAAGAGGGCGCAACTTGCGTGAGGGCGACATTAAGCGCGAGATACTGTTGTTCATGCATAGAGATGCCGCGCCTCATGTCGCTCTCGCGCAAGTCGCGCCAGGTGATGCTAGCACTGCTGGGAGTTATTTGTACCGACCGAACTTAATTGCATGTGCGTAGATTTAGCAGCGTAATTTGAGCTACATTGTTCCCCAGCCTTCAAATCTGTACTTTATTATCACAGGTACAAGTAATAACTAACATGCTTGAAATTAGAGCTACGTGCTGCGTTTGTCGGCAGCAAATGTATATATCATAAAAATGTCCTTGGAACCTTCAAAAATGCAGTCTTACAGTGATATTGTTAACCATATATCTCATTCATTAAATTACACGTCATTATTCAATAATGAAGATAATTTTTATATACTAGAAACATTTTCAAAATTAAGTACTTAATATGGTCTCCGAATAGAATGTGAGTTTGTCAATTAATATAGGCTAAACACAAATAGTACATAATATGAAAACACATTAAGTATAAAGATCAAGTTAATTACCTTAAAATTATATGTATGTATAACTAGCTTGGCTAGTTGTAAGTTTTATTTAGGCGGAGAACACTTTTTTTGGGCAACACTATTAAATGGCTTGTCGAATTTAAAGTATTGAATAGTCTCGTTGCAGACGCTGCTGTGCACGTTTAACTGACAATAGGTAACATTATGATTGTTATTGAAATTATACTGCTACGGTTTGCAACTGAAACACCTTAAGGTGCCTACAGATTTGCTCGTATATTTTGATGATATGTGTCGATCATCGTGTAAGCGCAAACGAAGGGCATCAAAATTTTCGTCGAGGAACGCGTATGATCAAATGAAATCACGTAAATGTGTAATAAACAGACGATCGACATCATTGACCTACCAATAAATGGACGGCGGGTTCGCGCTAAAAAGTGTCCGCACCTGTAGGGCGTTAAAATCGCATACAGAGCGTCAATCGCGCAATAGTCTTCGTTTGTTCGAGTGACAGCGAGGTTGTCAATCATGCAGTACCAATATATGCAGTACAAATAATAACTTGTAAAAATTACTGTAGTAAAATGTGAAAATAGGATTTTGTATCATATTTTTACTAAATAAATATATTGTGTTACCATAGTTGTCATTTAAAAGTGTTATTTTGTACAGTTTTATAGTAATTAATTTATATATAACTGAATCGTAAATATAAATTATAAAAGCACACGAAATAATGAAATAACTAACTGTCCTTTTTCTACTCATTGTATGCGCAAAAGATGGAAAGGGACCCACGTCAGTTACGTCAATTTCAAGAAGCTTATACATATAAACTTATTGCTCATTTTCAATTGTTCGAACCACAAGCGATTGAAATATTTAGAACAAACAAACTGTAGAGTTGTTTTGATTTTAATCCTATTTTTAAAATGATTTTTTTATTAAACGTTAGCAATAACTAACAAAATATTGTTGTACTCGATTTACGGCATGGGATTACCTATCAGAAGTTAGAAAATACATTTGCCCGAAATAACATTAGCTCGAATTTCCATAATGTGTTTTTACGAACGAAAAGCTAATTTTGTCTATGTAAAAAACATCAAAATTACTTGAAAGCGTAACGGTTTTGTTATAAATCGGAATTACAGATATTTAAGTTTACGTTTATTTAGAATATCGGTACATTTCTTATAGTACACGCTTATTTTCACATTTGTAGTAATAATTGTATGTATGTGTCTGCCGAACTCTTTATTATACCTTTAAGTGAATTTGTATAAAATGAAAATATTATTGATATATATATGAAAATATTAATTAATTATATATTTATATTAATTATATATATATATAAGTAATTAATATTTACGAGAAAGGTTATTCCATTACTCTTGTGTTCAAGTAATTTTCATTCGAAGCTAAATATGGTGCATTTTGTTAAGTTTCCAGTAGAAGCTGAATATGGTGTTTTTGGGCCCTTAAATTGTTGTAAGCAAATTTAGGCAGTACTGCAATGACGTTACAATTTAAATTAAATGTTTTAGTTTTTTATATTTCGTTACATGTCACTACGTTTGTATAGGTTAACCTCGGACATTTTTTCGTGGTTTTTGTATTAGACCCGATGTCCATCTGTTGGTAGGTCAATGATCGACATAGTATTTTTTGTCGATCGACACGTATGGTCCGAGAATATCGTATAAATGTGTAAACAGACGATCGACAGCGCATTTTTTGTCGATCGACGCTATGGAATTTAAATTAGGCAAATTGGTTAGATTTTAACACTAATATTTATCGATCGCAAACATGCGATTGAACGTATAACTAGCTTGACTAATTGCAAATTTTTATTTAGGCCAAGAAGCCTTCTTTGGGGCAATACTATTAATGGTTTGTGGAATTCAAAGTATTTAAGTCTCGTTTCTGCTGCTGTACACCTTTAACTCACAATAAGTAATATTACGATTGCTTTTTAAATTATACTGCTACGGTTTGCAACTGAAGCACCTTAAGGTGTCTACAGATTTGCTCGATTTTTGACGATGGACCATGTGATCAAACGTGTAAGCGACAAACGATCGACATCAGACAAAATCGAGTAAATGCGTAAGAAACAGACGATCGACATAGTATTTGATCGACACTATGGAATTTAAATTAGGCGAATTGGTTAAATTTTAAACCTAATATTTACATATTGTAAACAAGCGACAATAACGATCGTCAAAAATTGCGCAACTTTTTCGTACTTTTAGACGTCACGAGTGAAGCGTAGCCTGCGTTTAGAGTCTATTAATAATAAGGTTTGGTAAAATGTCTCATTTAGTCTGTAAAGAGCTTAAGAACCGATGCAAACTCAATGCAAATGCAATTTTTTTTTATCTGTAGGATTTATCACGGAGTGTGCGATGGAATTGCACGATTTAATTCCTTCTTTCCCTATCCATTATCGGGGGGACTAGACGTAGGCTGGCTTCCACCCCTAAGTTATGGATAATACAAAGATTCGCATGCAGCGTTACGGTTTCACAATTACATGTCGAACGGCTATGGAGTGGAATTTCTTGCCTGCAGACTTATTCCCTGAACACTATAACTTGGGCCTTTTCAAGGCGAGAGTGAATGGGCATTATTTAGGAAGGCAAGCGCTATCATCGACCTCATCGTCGCTTTCCATCAGGTGAGATGGAGGTCACATGCGCACTTATTATAAAATATATGCCTTGTATGAGTGAACAGCAGCACATGTCGTTCTAAATTTGCAATGTTAATAGACTAATGTCAAAATAGACTATTGTGTTAACCAATATAAACTAATGACAGTTTTTTTATTGGTAAACACATTTTACTCAAAATGCAATATTATCTTATTTTAGACTTTTGCGGCATGTTTCTGAACGAACATCGTTTGAGGTAGAGCAAGCAGCCGCCTCACAGGCCGTCTAGGAAGCGTCACAGGTTTGGGTCTGGATCCCTGTATTGATTCTGTCCTAGCTTCGCGAATTCCTCATTCAACTTGTTCATTTTTTCCGTGTACTGGAAAAGACAAAAATATAATACTTGGTGCACAAGAACAAAATATAATTAAAATGGATGCCATCGACGGTCTGGTAATAATTATGACAACGGCTCTGCGTGTCGACAGCCCGACAAAAGCCCCAGTATGCGATCTGCATTTTTTGTAACATTCATTGTATACTCACACTTAAATACTATACAATAGTAGTGTATTGACAGCTATAGAAATAATCAATATCGCAGTAATTAACAAACCACACTAACTAGTGAATCCACGTTGATGGGCGAAAATGTTTTTGCCGCAATCACCACCCTTTGCATTTGTAAATAAATGCATTGCTATCACTCACTTGGGTGATAGCGGTATAGTACAATGAATTAACCCAAAATTGATCTCATGGGGCAGTTAATTATAAACATAGTATATTAAGATAAGTAGTGAAACTCCCCCCTGTTCGGCGCGTCAACGCGTTCATGTCGTTCGGAACGTAGGGAGGTCACATTATAATAAATTGTAATTGAAAGGTGTTAATATTTAAAAAAAAGTTAAGGTGTTCATCACAGTTTTCTCGTTATGTACTGAAATATAAAGTACGTACGTATTGATATTTTTATACCAGCATCGCGGATTGGTATCTCGATTAGGAGAGTATTATGAAATAGAAATTAAATGCTGAATAATTCTGAATTTGCGGCACTCTTGTTCAAATACCAATAAACTTTGAATAAACCCGTCTACTATTTGAAGTCCTTTTTTAAACACCGCCGAAGGAACGCTTTAATTCTATAATTAACGACGCGTGTCACGATTCGCGCTGTGCAACTTGAATGTACCGCGAAATTTTGCTAATGTGTACGTTTATACATAGCGCGTGACGAGTGTGCACACGTACAAGCCGCGTTGCTACGTTTGTGAAGTTACTCGTCTTAGTTAGTTTTAATATACGTGTGTTAGTTAGTCTTAATATACTATGTTATAACTGAGAATGATACGGTAAAGATGAATAACGCCCTTGAACGAGGCACTATCGTCAAATATAGCCTGGAATTTTGCAACCTCTCTTTATAGAGGATGCTTTGCCATGCAATATGCCATTTGTCTGATATAGCAGGCTGTTACAGTAAAAAAAGGTTGTAAAAGTACATTACACTTACATCATAATGTTGGTGCTGCTGAGCTTGACTACTCAAGCCCTGGCTTTTCTCCACTTGCACAGTGCAATTGACGTAGTAATTCAACTGGTTCTGCAACTTGACAAATATTTTCCTGTACTCGTATTGCATTCTATTGATTTCGTTGTTTATATGCACGTCTTTCTTCGCCATGTACTCTTTGTAGGTATGTATTGTCTTTTTACAATTCTTGTATTTGTCCTGTACTGCTTGGTGGTCAGATTGTAATTTTTGGTACTTTTGTTCGATTTGCGCCGCTTTCGTTTGCAACTCGGCTATCTTGTGACTCATCGATTGCAATTCTTTTACGCTTGTGGTGTTCTTTTGCTTCCAATTTTCCCTCTCGTGTTTCAAAGCTTCCTCTAAGGAAGTCATTCTCGATAGCCTGTCTTTGTATCGTTCGGCTTTCAAGCGCCATTCTTTGACACAGTCCTGAGCTTTCTGGCAATCGGCCTGTAACTCATTATGTTCTTTTATTAGAACAGAAATCTCATTCTCCTTTGACTCCAGCACTTGAGACACTTTAGCTCGTTCTGAAAGTATGAATTCTTTCAAAGTTTCCACTTCCTTCGCTTTCCTCTCGAGCAGTTCTTTTAACTTGGTCACACCAGTAAGATGTTCATTTTCCATCTCTTTTATTTTCCTGGAGAAATTCATTTCCATTGTTTTCATTTCTAACGTAAACTTCTCGGCAATTTGGTCCCGTATGGCCTTCTCCTTCATCATAAGCGCAGTCTGCACAAAAACATTAAAGCGTTAGCGTGTTGTCTCCGTACAGTAGTAATCCTAATCTCATCTGTCAGAGTATATATACAGTATGTTGTTAGGTTGTGGAATGAAACTAAGAAATTCACTGTACAAGGAATACCAGAGTAACAAAGTTAATTCAAGGGGCACCCAAATCAGTTAAAAAAGTTCATTACCTAAATTATAACCTAGCAGTTAGCACACTTGCAGAGTGCTAACTGCTAGGTTACCAAGTACGTCACACCACATAATATACTTCAACTTTCTTAAATGTTATCTATAGCTACTTCAGAAACTCGCTATATAATAATAGTAACTCATTTTCTATTAGTTAACGAAACGCCACTTCTCTCGCTCGCGTAAACATGATTACAGCCTAGTTTTCTATGGGCCGTGGCTCTTCTTATTTTGTCATAATTTCTCAATTGGAAATATTTTATGCCACAAAATAATTCTAAAACGTTTTGTAAGCTGGTCAACTCAAAAGGGCATTGTTTCCATTATAATTATTACACGTAACATGAACAGTAGAACCTGTTAATAAACGAACCGAAAAAAGGTTTATGATCTATGACATGTCACTTTGACAATGACAGTTGTTATAGAATCTTTGTCCTGCAGAAACGTGCAGTTAGGGCAATTTACAATCTGGGCCCCAAAGTATCTTTGAGAGATAAGTTTAAGGAAATTAACATTCTTACACTAGCCTCACAGTACATTTATGAAAATGTAATTTATGTTAAAAGGAATAGTAATTTATTTATGAAAAATAGTGACAGACATAACATTAATACGAGGAATAGAAATAAACTAGCTTTTCTTGATAGTCGTCTTCACAAAGTCAAAAAATCATTTAAGGGGCAATGTATACGCTTCTATAACAAGATTCCGGTTGATATACAAAATTTGCCTTTCACGAGGTTTAAAACTATAGTGAAACAAAAACTTTATACTAAAGGTTATTATACAACTTCTGCGTACTTGGATGGCAAAAATCCGTGGTAGTAACCCGTTTAGCTCATGGAGGTAGTCTCGATCTCTGATGTTTCAAATAAAAAAAAATATTGTAAATGTTATTTACAAAGAGCAACCCCTAGAGTTTCTTGCTCATTCTTCTCAGGGGAATCTGCCTTACGAATGAGCGGTAGAGTTTAACTATTGTGACGATTTCAAGTGTAATAATGCTTACCTATGAAATAAAGATTATTTTGAATTTGAAAATTTGAATTTGTTTGTTTATACTTTTGGACTTCGATTTCATCTCAGAGTATAGAAAAAATAAATTACTACGTACGTGATACGTCACGTAGTAACTTCAGTAATTCTACCATGAGTTTATCCTGTCGATAGTCGCTTGCGCATCAAATATTTGATAATTGTGTACGACAATAATTACAAAGTCAAAAAAGGCCTAGGTATAGCTGACGTAGTAAATAGGTTTGTGCATTTGGTGAACTGTAATTTCATTTTTATTTATAATTGGTCTTGTAACGGCTCTTTGACAATAAACATCTCTTTTATAATCAAAATTTCTTTTTTCAAGTCTATTTGCTGGCCCCCAAGACATATCTCAATCTGTGCAGCGCTCCTATACTCACATGAATTACAATAGTCTATACAAATATTGTACGCAGTCGCTAGCGACATCAAGATAGCAAGTTCAATTCAGGAAGTCTACTCCCGTTCTCCGTCTGAAACCCTCTGTTCCCAAATTAGTAAATGATTAAATACTACAATAATTGTCATGTATAAAACGAGCTCGTATTTGAAATTCTTTTTGGCATTCGAAAGACTAAAGTTCGTATTTAAAAAAAATCATATTCGAATCCGCAACTAGTGGTCTCGGAGCGCAGCAGTTATTGGGCAGAATAATTTTCAAACAAAATAAATCATATTGTTGCTGTTAAAATTGAATTGCCTATGAAATGCAAGTATAACTTTAGAGTCCAGTAAACATCCATTTGAATCGCTAATTTTGTCCAAAGCGTGCCCGGTGATAGTTATCTTTAGGTGTATGTATTTAATATTTTTATTTATTATTATGTATTAAAATTATCTATATGTATGCTATATCAGTATTCTATCGACATACGTATTTTATGAATACTTATTATGCAGTGTACTTTTGAAGATTGGTTTAGGTTAGGTTAGAGTTTAGGTTAGGTTAAATTTTTATTCTGAGGCTGCCTGGAAGGAATGACCACATAGAAATAAGGCCGTCTATTGCACATTAACTAACAATTTTTTATACTTATGTTACTGTTCTATGTTGTCACTATAAATTTATGTGCCACAAAGAGTATTTTATTCTTTAGGTAAATGTACATGGGCGAATGCTAGAGGTCGATTATAGCTTGTTACTTCAATACGGTGCAGTCAAAAGATAGATGACGTTTTCAAAAGTCTGACCTTAGCAGAGAGAGCCTCATCGCAGTCGTGGACGAGCTGTTCGATGCTGGGTGCTCGCTCAAGCGTCTCACATTCGTGTTCGGTATTAGTGGCCACAGTACGTTGTTCGCGTAGTTTGCGGAACCGCTCCATTATGTATTGTTGAAAGAACTCTGCCTTGCCTTTTAGCTCGTTCATCAACTCCTTGTTGCCATCTTGAGTTGCTATCATATTTAAAAATATGTATTATTAGGTGACTTGCGCATTTGTAATATTACATTGTATATATAGGTAAAAGACGGAAAGCTGTGTCGTACAAAAATATTTACATTTGACTAAAACTATGCAACACTTGTCCAATCATATTAATGGATACTAATATATCTTAAAGCATAGGACACTAATAAAAGGTGGCTCAATACATACATTCACGGGCAATGAATTCGCATGGTTTTTAAAGAAAAAGCAAGGACATTGGGAGACGAATCGATTTACACTAATTGAAAGGTTTAGAAATGGTTTGTTTTTTAAATATACTACGAAATTTAGCGTGATAATAAATTTTCCTTTCCTTTTTTGTAAATTTTTTGTAAATAACACATTTGTTTAGGTACTTTCAGCTGCTGTGGTTTTAATGGAGCATTATTATTTATCTATGGGCTTTATTATTTTGCAAGAAACCCAAATTCACCGCCCATTAGAGTAAATGTCCATTACTTACCCAGTCTCACAGTGCATTTGCTGAGTTGGTCTTCTAAGTTTCTGATGCGGTTCAAATGCTTCTCGCAAACAGAACATGGTTCCATTTCTTTTCGCATTGCACTCTTTTCGTCTATAACAAAACATTCATACTTGTTTTGGGGAGATAAACATCTAAACAATTGAAAAAATGATAGTAACATGACCACCATGACATTACATGTAAATAATAAATATGAATGAAGAATGAAGAACTGGTGTAGCTTTTTGATTATTATTATAATTTATATCGGACTCTAAATATACCTGTCAAGTTACGAGTTGGATACTAATGACAACTCGATGCCTTACGGCCACCTTCTATATTTAATCTCAATCCATAATTTGCTCTCTGAGCTTGAATAATCAATCCAAATCCTAGTTTTACTATTTCAATAACCGATCGATGGATCGTTATTCCGATTTTTTGTTCCAATCCATCTGTGGGACGGCATTTTTAGATTGACATTTGTATGGCAGTGACGTTCAATATATAGTGTGCGCTTTCAATATTCGATCCATAGGTCTGACAAATCGGATTTTGAACGTGTTCGATCTATAGTAGCGATCCTAAAATTTTGACCGATTGTACTGTGTAATCGTGTGAAAATGGAAGCTATTTTTAAGTGATAGCGACTATGATCTTGAACAATTTGCTCAGTTATCGGACTGGGATAATAGCGACAGCGACCAAGAGCAACTTGTGTCAAGAACGTTTAGGCGTATAAACTTCATGGCAAGTTTAAGTGACGCTGAATCAAGTCAAATCAAAATGGTATTTTTTAATTTAGATTATTTCTCACGTCACGAATGCGAACAAACATCAACAAAACATAAATAGACACTAACATTTCGAAGCCGCCGCCGCCTTTTTTTTTCCATCCTATAGGCCATATAGGATCTCATAGGGTCCTATCCGTTTGACAATAGACGTTCCGTTCTGTTCCTCGAAACACGTCATTCTTGACGTACTTACGGTTCAAATATTTTATACTAGAAAGTTTGCATTATATTTATATTTTTGACAAAAGTAAAATCACATTTATAAATAAATTAATCTTAGAAACATAACCACCATTTTATTCACTAATTCGTGTAATGAACTTTTACTCCGATTGCGTGGAACTAAACGTCAGAAAGGAAGTACATTTACGACCGACCCTTTTTTTTAAGGGCGCTAGAGCCGAGATATAGAAAGCGGTCGTTACTTTCTCAACCACGTATCTTATAAAGAGTGATTATTCAGGACATGGCAAAAATGTCTATTTATTTTAAATTTGTTATCAAGGGTGTTAATTTGGATGCATTACTTTAAGAATAGGTAAAAGCCAGTCTTTGAATATGAGGGAAATTAGATGTGAAATCAGCTTGCAAATTTGCATACTCAAAATTTGTGCTTTGTGCATTAAGATACGAGTTTGAGAAAGTAAGGCGACGAATTTGCGGAATTCTATAGAAGTAACTTCTGCTACGAATCCCACACGAACATAGAAGCAAATATATTGACAATGGGCACCAATAAATACTAGAGCCAGCTATTCAGAATCCAAAGTTTACTTCTTTAGGATACATACCTGCGATGTACTGATTGAGTTTGTCGGTAAATTCCCTTTGCTTATCAGTAAACTCCTTTTGCAGTTCTGAGATCCTCCTATTGGCTCTGTCCATCTCCTCCTTTGTGGCTGTCAGCTCTGCAGTTAACTTCTCAACTTGTTGCCTCTCCTTTTCTAATCTTTCGACGGTTTCTGTTTCCTGAGATTTGTATAAGTCTTTCTCTTTCTGAACTTTCGATTGGAGGTCTTTAAGTTCTCTAGACACCAAATCGCGAGCACTGCAAACCTGTTCAATTAAATGTTATTTAAGCTAACAAACAGAAAAACAAGCTACTATATATTATAACACAGCGTGCCACCTCTACCTATGTCCGCCGCAAAGCAGTATTGAAGTGGTTCAGATTGAAAAGCAGAGAGAGCCAACACAATCGAGAATATAGAGTTTAGGTATGTACTGCAGGACGAGGACTAGGGCAGCTGGGAAATCAATAATGATGTTCCCCAGTGGACGCCCGATGGGTGCTCAAGCCTACGATGTAGTCGTAACAGCGTGCACGATGAGGATTGTTATTTGTTTGGAATTATATAAAAATTCTGGTAGGATTTAGGTTAGGTAGGAAGCTTCAATAAAGAATTTAGGTTTTATAGCTAGGATAGCTAATAAATATATTTAGATTGTTTGATTAGGATGTGGTCATGTCGGTCCTTTAGATAGGTTTTTGACAGATTAAAGACACAGCCTTCTCGGTGGTTTTGTTTGTTAGTAAGTGAAAGCTTCCGAGCAGTGTGTGGCTAGCCTATAGTAAAGGCTGATCACATATGCATGTTGCCTATCATAGGTAAGGCACTAGCTAGGGATGTTCACCCCTTCAGTTGTGAGGAAGAGCGATGAAGTACAGGCAGCTTAGGTTTTGTATTTAGAATTGTAAGAATAGTAGAGTGTTGATGTCAAACAGACATCTAGGAGTTCTGGACATAGCTTTTAAAATTAAATACACGTATAAAGTTATAATTACGATATAATCGTCCTTTATATTTATAAAATACCTCTCGCTACGCAAGCCCAAGCTACGTTCCTATGTTATAGTACCAAGGCGGCATGAGACTTGCGATATTAAGGATACATCCTTAGTAAACAAATCATACACAGGAGGACAAGAGCTATTGTCCGTCACACGAATTTAGTCCTTGTAGTGTGAAATCCAATCACATAGGGATTAATGATTCTCAATTCTGATAAGTTTCTAAAACTTAAATCAATTAAACTTAAAACAAAAATCATCTGCCGCGTCTGTTGGCCAGCATTTGGAAAACTGCATCATGTCTTCTCGTCACCAGTCCCACAGTACCTGAAGACCAGGGTTTACAACCAATGCGTCCTACCGGACATGACTTACGGAGCCGAGACGTGGAATGTGACGGTGAAACCGGCTCACAGACTACACGTCGCTCAGCGAGCTATGGAAAGGTCTACGCTGGATATCTCGTTAAGGGACATACTCCGGAACGAAGTTATCCGGCTATAAGACTAAAGTTGTGGACGTCGTCCAGAATTGTAGCAAGCTGAAGTGGCAGTGGGCTGGCCACATCTGTCGCAGAACCGATGAGCGATAGTGTAGACGGGTACTCGAGTGGAGACCACGTCTCGGCAAACGTAACGTAGGACGTCCCCCTGCATTATGGACCGACGATCTGAAGAAGGTCGCGGGTAGTGGTTGGTTGCGGAAAACGGGTGATCGGGTACTATGGCGTAAACTTGGGGAGGCTTATGTCCAGCAGTGGACTGCAATAGGCTGATTGATTGATCTTGTCGCATTGGGTAAAGCGTATTTAGTCATTGCGTTCGTGTTACCCGTAGAAATGTATTCGTGAAGATGTGACCTAAAATCATCGAGTATATAACCAGAAATAGAGACGAAATAAGGGCCATCCCTGGAAACTCATCAGGCAAATGGGCGTTATATCACTTTTAAATATCAACTCTCGTTTGCACTGAAATCACAAATTAGAAAACTGAAATAATACAGCGCCAACAACTGACCTGTGTGTACGTCTCAGTATATCCCAAAAATATTCTGTATTTATTGTAATAAAGATAATGAAGAAAACAAACGGAATCACATTTCATCGGTAATGAAATATTAAATACGTAATTTTTAAATTTTCGTCCATTATAGCAAAGCTCAAGTTAAACTGGTCGATTTGAAGTGAAACAATTGACGACACCCGTCAATTGTTTCGAATTCGCGCTGGTCAAATGTAATAATTTGGCAGAATCGTTTTCAAATATAATTAAGTGAGATTTCGTCTCTATTTCTGGTTATTCGATGCCTGAAATATATGTATGTGAGCCATTGACTTACAAATAAATGGACGACGGGTCTAATACAAAAACCACGAAAAAAATGTCCCAAGTCCATTGAGTTACAATTATAAGGACGTAGGTTCCGCGTTAAAAAGTGTCCGAACTTATACGGCGTTAAAATCGTATACAGAGCGTCATTCACGCTTTAATCACGTTTAAATAAGTTGACTTGGGCATTGACTTACAAATAAATGGACGATGGGTCTAATACAAAAACCACGAAAAAATGTCCCAAGTCAACCTATTCAAACGTAGTGACATGTAAAGGAATATGAAAAAGCTAAAACGTTGAACTTAAATTGTAATATCATCGCAGTACTGTCTAATTTTGCTTGCTTCGCTGTCAGTCGAACAAACGAAGACAAAAGCGTGAATGACGGTCTGTATACGATTTTAACGCCCTATAAGTTCGGACACTTTTTAGCGCGGACCCGACGTCCATATAATTGTAAGTCAATGCTGTGAGCCTAGTTTGTGCATCAGTCTCCCACAATACGTTTATAATAATGTAGTTTGTACTTTTATTATGCTCATTGTAATATAATGTGGTGACAAAATAAAAGCTTTTTCTTATTAATATAAGTTATACGAGAACCCGTCTAAGGCTCCATTTACGAGTAGAGCGCAGGTATGGCCATCGTAAGAAATGAGTTTCGGAAATGTACAGAATTCCACATTACAATAACAGAGGTTTGACTAACATTCAATACAGGCCATCCGGGAATTGGCAGGTTCACTCGTTTGGCAATTCATTTTTTGTCTTTCATGGCATTCAGTTTCATTTTGCCTTCTGCTCAATCAAACTCCCAATGTCTCTTGACTTGATAATCACGTAGGTAAAGTGTGTATCTATCTCAATACTGCGCTTTGTTATTGTTGTTGTGAGTACAAAGTAAACATACCTGTAAATACAACGTTTTTAGTTCTCCATTCTCTTTGAGCGTGTCTTTCAATTGTACGCTGTACTTCTCAAGCTCCCGCAGCAATTCCCCGTTGGCCTCTTGGAGCATGGAGGCGCGTAGACATTTGTCGTTCTTCAGTTTCTCGTAATCCATTTCCATTTCTGTATATCTGAGACCCAGCTGGGTAAAAAAAAAAAATCACTCAAAATATACAGGGTTATTTTTAAAATACTAAATATCTCGCAGGACCATATTACTAACACCTTATACAAAAACTTTTGTTCCATGACTTTTAACAAAATATAACAGATTTATTTAATAATCAACATTGAAATTTTTCTTGTACTATCTGACACTATCTGTAGGAAGTAATAATATGTATAGCGACGCCGCGTGCTGATTCATAACAATATTTTGGTAGCGGGGTGGATATTTGAATGTTTTATGCATGAATTTTTTATGCGGCATACAAACAGTAAGAGACAAGTAAAGTCCAGTAAAGACCAGGGCGGAAAGTCGCGTACATGTTCGATTTTGAATGGAATCCATCACACGCTTGGTGGGTAATGTTCATTAGCAGAGAATGTATAGTGTGCACCTGTTGTAAGTGTTTATAATCCAAAAGAAAACTGGTAATTTAATACGTAAATTTCTAAAAAGTTACACACTGGGTACTAGTAAACGCAAAAAAATAAAGAAAAATTTACATTTCAACTCTGTAGTAGCAAAGTAATGCAAAAGTTCTTAAATACTAACATTTTTAAGTTCACTTCTAACTTCGTCGAGTTCAGCCTGCAGCCGTTCGTTCTGTTGTTTATACGTTTCCATCAGTTCACTATCGGAGCTACTGCCGAGCAGTTCCAGCTTGTTCTGCAACACGGCTACTCGCGAGTTTAGCTGCATTTCTATTCCTTTTTGTTCTTCTAGTTTTGCTCTAAGCTCTGACTCTTGTTTGCGATGCTGCTCAAGTTTTTTGTCTCTGTTAAAAAATTATAAATAATGGTAAGATTGACAGAGTTTTTTTAAACTAACCTAATATACCCTGCAAATTTGTAATTAGGAGTACATAATATTGTTATATGCATAGTAGAACAAGAACAAGAATGGTTACTCCATATAAACGTCCGCATCGGTTGCACGTAGCGCGGTTTGTATGTGTGCATGCCCGCCACGCACCGTGTACGGACGCACACATTTGCATAATAATGAAGGGTGCATTGATACGATGATTGTCGTGCTACGCTAGAGCATGCTGAATGCTCTATGCTCATGTCGTATTAGCCGCGCTGTTATTTTGTACGGAGTTACCCTACTTGTTTTATTCTACTATGATATTACCTGCACTAATGCACAAAATGAGTGAGGAATTTATATGTAATTATCAGAACAACAAACACTATAAATCGTACATTAAGAAACATTTTTGAAAACTGAAGATATAAACTATTAGTTGCTTAATTACGCCATGTATACGTAAGTGAGCACGTTTTTGTACCTGTCTATATTTATTATATTTTTACTTAAATACACTGAACTCCTTCAACTCGGATTAAGCCGGAATGGCTTTTGTGAGCGAAGCTTGTAATTAGTAAATAAGTATTTTTTCTGTACTTTGGTCAATAAACTAAAAATAAAAGGTATTACTTGACATAACCAACTTTTACGAGAAGTCTCGGGCCTAAGTAGCCCTATATTAATAATACCATCTAAAGTTCAGAGTGGTTATTAAGATCCTAAATTAATCAACTGTCTTTAATAAATGTTGCTTGAGTACCAACTATTTACTCGTGGAGAAAGCAAAGTTTCCTCTTATTGATACGTATCGAGCGAAGTTCTTTTGATATCCACTCAAATTGCATAATCTACGAATGGAATTACTCGGCTATTCCTCAACAAAAATACAATTGTACAGGTCGTAACGATCGTCAAATTTTGAATTTCAATCTGTGACAGGCTATCAGCGTAAAAGTGGTGTAATCACATGAAATCTTAGTAGCAGTAGAGCTCCTTGTGAAAGTGTTCGTCCAGGGAAGTACTGCCACCTTACCTATTTCTGCCGCCAAGCAATAATGTCAGCATTAGTGTGTATGTACAGGTTTTGAAGGGTAACGGTGCTGGTGAAATTACAGATACATGAGACTTGTCAACTTATGTCTCAGGGTGACGAGGGAGTGGCAGTGCACCTCAGACAGCTGTTTGTGTGAATAAGGTCTTTAGTTCTTTATGATGGAAAAAATAATCTATTTACCGTTTAGCTATTTCTTCCTGTAAGGCGGGCAGTTTTTGTATCTGTTGTTTGTACCGATTTAGCACTTCTTTAAGCGTCGCAAGTTTCCCCGGTGACGGAGGATCGTCTGGAATAACAAAGAAATTTATAATCCGGCCACAGCACCATATTTTTAGAAATAGTATTTTTAACATAGTTTAAAAGCTCTTGTTAGCAATGTACATTTTGAAGACCTCAGTGGCCCAATGGTTTGCACTGTCGGCGCTGGATGAGGCGGTCTCAGATTCAATTCGCGGCAGGATTCATTTGAGAAATTAACTATTCTAAATTGTCTTGTTATGAATCGCGTTGGAAGACGGTCTCGTAGACGGGTGCCCAATCCAAGACCAATTGTGGTTCATTACTCCGTCAGCAAAACAACGACAGCAGCTAGTCGTCCTGTACTAAACTCGGTCGATATCGAGGAACACTCATTTGATAAGATGGCAAAAGGACATTGACAAATGCTATCATTCCATCCGATTCATATCGGTCCTCTACTAACTGTCTACTCTTCAGATTTCCGATAGGAGCATTGTAGCAGCGCCCTAGACGTACAAATGCAAATACTCACTAATATAAGTGTTGTCTGGTAATGCTTCTAGCATTATTTGATGCAAAGTACTGCGCCAATTTTCGTATTCTTTCTGGCTGTTTGTGAGTTTATTGCGACATAAAACAAGTTCGTGTGCTGTTACTTCTAACTTAGACTGAAAAGACAAAAAACAATATTATTAAACTGAAAACAAAAACCGCAATTAAAGATGAATTTATTCCGTAACTCTAGTCATATAGTGTGACGACACGGGGCTCTTTCTTGACCACCGCGTCTTATCCGTTAGAGTCCGTTCACATTATGTCGTGACGACAGATAGTCGTGCAGTTTAAAGTGTCGGGGCTTGTATATTTAAATGAAATTGTTCACATATAGTAAGTACAATACGATTAATTGTCGTGCAGGACTTTTTAGACGTCACGATAAAAATGTGACGCCACATAATTGCAACTTCAAGCGATTCTGTCGTGCAAACGACAAGGCGGCTGTTGTAAATCGATAAATTATCGTCACGATCGAGTGGGAACAGCTAGACACGACAGTCGTTCAACGATAAAATAAACGTCCACGACACAGTCACGATAGATAGTTGTGATATGGGAACAGACTAGACGCGACAGTCGTCTGACGACAAATAAAACGTTACGACATAATGGGAACGCGCCCTTAGACCCGTCAACTAACAGCTGGCTTCATCTTTGAAACACAGTTGGCCTCCTTTCCGCTAACACAGATAACGGGTCTTAGAGTCTTTGTTGTTTATGGTAGACGGGACGAACAAGTCCTGTGCCTGATGGTAAGCTACATGCCTGTCCATAACAGTTGCAATGCCACTCAGAGGTTTAAATAGCAAAGATCTGACGGGCACTGCCACTGCACCCGTCACCCTGAGACATAAGTTGACAAGTCTCATGTGCCTGTAATTTCACCATAACACCACATAAGTGTCTCACCCCTAGTTCTTTGACTTGTTCTCTGGATGCGTTTCTTTCACTGGTTAACTGGGATACTTTTTCCTTCAGTTTAGCAGTCTCCCCACTAACAAGTCGACTTTGCGCGGCTTCCAATTCGCTGGCTAATCTATTTATTGTAGCACCTTTCTCTATCAATATATCTTCTTTTTCTCTGTCTTTCTCGAGGCATCGTTTCTCCAACATTTTAATTTCGTTTTCCTGAAACAAAGAAAAAGCAATATTATATATAATAAAAACATAAATATATTATGGTTCAGTTGAAGATGTAGATACTATTTTTTTAAGTTTTTCAAATTGGCAAACAGTAGATGGTCCGTTTTATGGTAAGTATCGCCTACAAATATTTGATAGCATAAAATGTGGGATATAAGACCAACTCCTTTAGCCGAGCACAACACTCCTACTTTGGAGTAGTACTAGGCAAGGTTATGGATACCCCGTTAAGTGAATAATCAGAGATAAAAGATGGTGGAGAATTGATGTAAACACCTCGTCCGCACTATGACACGAAAAAGTGAATAAAACGATTGTTAACCATTGTGAATGCATAATGTTAATAGGGTACATGGCACAATGCAATATACTCACTTTCTCCTCAAGTCTACTTTTTGCTTTCACAAAATCATTTTGTAGTCTGTCCATTTCTTCTCTATGCCTGTAACAATATATAATAATAATAGTATCCTGTACAAGTGGACTCTTACAGTTTTTAGATATAACGACAAGGTAATAAAAGCATCCTTTGCAATTGTGGTTTATCTATAGTCATCAAACTGGGTGAGATGTTACTATACGATATTTATTTACTCAATTTGAAACATACCTATCTTGTTGTTCTCTGAAGAGTGCATCAGTGTCGTGTGTGTGAGCTACCTGCAAATAGTGCAATACACACGTATTGGTAAATAAGTTTATATTTCTAATTATATGGTTAGAGTTTAGTGCCCGCCTGAGAGTATATGTAATTAAACTATAATTTCACTAGTATGGCATAGAAGCAACAAGGATAAACATGCATTGTGGCAGATTTGTCAATGAAGTGACAGCGTGTTGATATAGCATATGCCTAAGTTTTCTAAGGCGGTGGCCTTCACTAGATACCTGCAGCGTGTGAAGTCTCTGCTGCACATCCTGCAGACTGATGTTGGCAGAGCGTACTTCGAGCTTAAGCTGCTCCTTCTCTTGGTCGCTTTCGACCAGTTTCTCTGTCAGCACTGTTACTTGCTGCTCTAACTCTATCAAGTTGTGCTTGCTGGATGCTGTGCCAGATATAAGAACAAGTAATAAATATTTGTAAAGATCTAAGTGAGTGGAATAATGGATACGGCGTACACTTGGCCACTTTCAAGCTATACTTACAAAAAAATTATTTGTAAATATCTGTTTGAGTATATTATGTTGTAATTGTAACTGACTACCTATATACAAAGGAAACGTGATCATTATGCGAGTTACCAAGCAAGTGATGAGCCTCCTGAAGTGATAATTCGGCCTTATCGCGGTCGTTGACGGCAGCAGCGAGACGCGCGCGTAGACTGTCGATCTCCGTATCCAGTTTCTCGATCTGACTAGCGAGTTGCTGGCATTCCTTTATGCGCATCTGCAATAACAACGCTCTTTTCTTTTTAAATAAGGAATGCAAACCAAATACACGTAGGTCTATCTGACCCCTGTTACAGAATTCAATGTACTAATGCTTCCTACCGACTGTAGGAACACAGGAATAAGTTTATTCAACAATATGTATGAATCGGCAAGATAGAGGAGGCATTCTTAAAAACAAGGCAATCTGCCTAGGCATCTTTATACATATTGAAGGAGCCTACTATAAAACAAACTTCTCGAGCACACAATCGGCCCTAAGACACTAGTTAGATTAGCAGTATGCTTAAAACAAAGAACTATAAAAACAATGATGCCCTCAAGGTAGGAGCAATATCACCCATTCTGTGAAACATGGTTGTAAACACCTCATCACACAGTAGGGTATGCTAATGATATAGCTAAACTGACAACAGCTAATTATGCCAATACAGTCTGCGGTATCGCACATGCTGCACCCCGAATTGTGGAAAGATGGAGCTGTGAGCTTAACAAAGAGAGAACTACAATAGTAATGTTTACAAACAAAAAGTACTGGGCATTTGTTATTTATTTATTGTATAGGAAAGCCAACATCATGTATACATAAAAATTGCAAACATACATCACAGGTTATAAAGTTTAAAGGTAGATAAACACCACATACCAAACACCAATACTTAATGGCTAACACACCAAGCTATAGATACAGATTCAAGAATGCATTTAAATTAATTATTCAATTGCATTAACTACCTATTACACTTATCGGTTGAAGTCAAGTAAGTATGTAGGAGTTGACAACAAGCTAAACTATAATAAGAAACGTGCGTTAAACAGAGCTGGCCTGTGGAAGCATAGGAGAATCCCACATACAGAAATCCTTTACAAGATGGTTAAGGAGAAACCGCTATTGGAGGCAGCTGTGGTTAGTTTTCCCAAACAATACATTATAGACAAAAAATACAAGATCTTTTATTTTTAACCGACTTCAAAAAAGGAGGAGGTTCTCAATTCGACTGTATGTTCTTTTTTTTGTTTTTTTTTTTTAAATATCAAGTAACGGGACGAACATGTGTTGCGCGTGATAGTGAGCTTCACGCCACTTTCACAACTTCCACAACGGTTGCAGTGCCAGTCAAAGCTTTAAATCGCAAAGGGGCACTGCCACTTCGCCCGGGGACATAAGTTGACAAGACTCATGTGCCTGTAATTTCACCAGCACCCTTACCCTTCAAAACCGGAACACAGCAATGCTGACATTACTGCTTGGCGGCAGAAATAGGTAAGGTGGCAGTACTGCCCTGGACAAACCCTTTCACAAGCTCTACTGCTACTAAAAGAGACAATTGTTTGAAGATCTCAATGAAGGATTGAACCCGCATCTCAGGTCTAGTCATCTTCACTGAAGGGTTCAAAACAAATTTAGAAACAGGCCCGGGTATTTTCAGACGACCTCAATATCAGGATTTCGACACTGCTTGGTGACCATAACATAGTTAGTAACTGCCTCCGTGGCTGCCATGCAGAGGTCCTGGGTTCGATTCCCAGGCCGGGAGAAATATGTGTATGGCCTACATTGAATGATGGCCTACATTTATTTTTCAGTTTGTAGAATTCAAACGCGATCGTGTGTATCTCAGTGACAAATTTCATGATGGTCGCCCGTCCACTGCTGGGAACAACAAAAACATCGATGCTGTGCGCCGTATAATCAAAACAGACAGGCATGTGACATACCATGAGATACGGGATCTTTAGGCATAGGCATGAGTCAAATACAATCAGTACTACACAAACATTTGGGTGTGAAAAAGCTGTGCTCTCGGTGGATCCCACACAATTTGAAAAAGGCTCAAAAAACGGATGCGAAGGCGCATCAAATTTGGTGTGGGACATAGAAACAGGTGACGAAACATGGATTTATAGTTATGATCCCAAAACAAAGCAGCAATCGAGCATATAGGTCTTTCGAGATGAGCCGAAACCGACCAAAGTGGCGCGCGTGCAAAGTGCCTCTAAGCGTATGATTGCGTCTTTTTTTAATAAAACTGGACACGTGGCTACGATTGCTTTGGAGAATCGTTGTATCGTGAATAGTAATTGGTACACGACCATTTGTTTGCTGGAAGTTATTGACGAAGTCCGTAAAAATAAGAGTAAACGCCGTATCATCCTGCACCACGATAATGCCAGTTCTGACACGGACATACAGACAAATGAATTTTTGAAGGTGAACAACGTTAACCTTATGAGTCATCCCGCGTATAGTCCCGACCTGGCACCTTGTGACTTTTATTTATTTCCGATAATTAAGAACCAGTTACGCAGTCAATGATTTTCATCACCTGAAGAGGCTGTCGAAGAGTATGAAAAATATGTGTCAGAGATTGTCTCGGTGGAGTGGCATAAATGTTTTCAAAATTGGTTCATTCGTATGAAAAAGTGCATTAACGCTAACGGAGAATATTTTGAGAAACAATAAATTCATTTCTGACCATTTATACTATTGTTTTCTTATTCATTCCGGAAAGTTATAGTGCGCCCCACGTACACGCAAAATTGGCGCCTGGACGTCGAGTTGCAGACATCAGCCCGTTAGACCATATCATAATACATACTAAATAAAATACATAATAAAAAGAAAAGAAAAAAACTATTTAAGACTTGATTTCACTAGTGAGCATACTCTATCATAATTCCAACCTGATGTAGTTTATAAATAAAAAGCCTCTTCCCCTTTTGTCTATAATTATTAATTAGCCTTTGCAGTTTAATTATCTAAATTTAAAAGATATTTTAAAAGTAACTATTTGTTAAACACTACGTACCTCATACATAACTTTAAGTTGTTCATTATTCATGTACTCTTGCCTGGCATCAAAATTATTGATGCCATTAAGATGACCTGAAAAATTTTAAGTCATTTTTAACTAAATTTTATTTACGCTTATTTTGTATTGGAGAATCCATGAGGAGTGGCCAGTAGATTAAATTTTTTAAACAATGACACATCACAGATTTCAGAGGTATACAGAAATACATTCGCTTATGTGCGTTAAGAACCTTCCTTACCCTACCAGCACAGCACTGAAAAAATAATATTATTACTATTGGTAGGAAAGAATAAATCAATAGAAAAATATTATTGGAAAACATTACAAATTCGCAAAGGCAGGTAATGAAACATTCACTCAATGCAGCAACGCAACACAAATTTATGCATTTATGTGTTTAAAGTAGGTAATGTGAACAATTTAAATCTGCCTCTGTGGCCGAACAGTTACCGTTCGGGACTACCGATGGGTTCGATTCCCAGGGCAGGAGAAATATGTGTATGGCCTACATTTATTTCTCTCATGAGTTTGGGTGTAATTTGTGTGTGTGTTTCTGTAGTACCCGCGACAAAGGGTTTCTCTAGTGCAGGGCTATAAGAGTGCTGCATTATTCTAATAGTGCCTGCTTACTGGTATATATTTCAGGGAACAAAGGGCAAAAAAATCAATCTACAAAGTGTAAAAGAGGAGTGAAAAACATGAATTTATTTTTTGATTTTTATACTTGTTCTTATTTTACAATATTTATCTAAAATCTACTTTTCGGCTAATACAAATTAAAGTAGATGTATTGTAAAAGCATGAAAATTTAACCTAACTATACATCATTAGCTCATTCTTAACGCAATTGTTCTGAAATATCAAAAAGTTCTGATGGTGTAGTGTGATGAATTGCAGTGTTTCTGTTTGTAAAGGTTTATACTATAGCATAGTCATTTAAAAATATTGGGATAATTTGAAAATGATTTTGCTGGAGGTTTTGGAGTGTATTTCTTACATTTGTAACTATAGTTAAAATATTGCAGCCTCTTGACTCTTGGATTTCCATATGCTGATATTTTAGGAACACTTTAATACCCGCTTCAACCTGGTCATAGAAATTGCTGCCATTTTAGAAATATTCGCTTTTAATTGCTGCCATTTTAAATATATAATAATGAATAAATTTTCCATCAAGAATCTAACTTTGTGTTAAATCAGTTTCTAATCAGTTTAAATCTATGTTTCTTTGTACCTACGTATTAGATAAAATAAAAAAAGGAATACAAATCAGTAATTTTATCACGTAAACATAAAAAAGGCACATTTTCATCGCATACAGCTATAATGTGTAATGCACTGTGTAAGTAACATGAAAGTTGGTTTTTTGTTTATTCGTAAAATTTTCATTTAAAATTGCCTGCAAGTTGCAAGTTACATACTTCCAATCCTTCAAGGCAATCCTTCTTTAACAAAATCCTTTAAAAAAATCCTTGTTTAACACTGAAAAAGCTTGACTTTACCCACCTCTATATTCCTGCTGATAATAGTGATTTTGACCATCACCAGCTCCATAAGGACTAAATGTCAGTTTCATTGCTTCTTCTTGGAGCCTAGTATGTGGACTGGGGTTTTTGGGAGTCTCACAGTATTTTGCAGATTCAGAGTTGAGCTGAATTTCCTTTAAATGGTTCAAAGACTCAACATATGTGGGTGGAAGGCCCGATCGTATCTGCTGTTGTCCTGAAATCATACAAAACATGCTTGCATTGAAAAAATTACAGAGATCAAATGCGTGAGAATTGTTGTGTTTGGACCTACCTCCATTAGTCTGTGCCGCATCTAAAGTAAAGTTTCCGCTGCTGTTCACAGAGCTAGCTTCGTCTTCATCTAATAAATCATCAAATGCATTCGCAAGCTTGTGTTTCAGCTGAAAACATTGTAGCTTGATTATTAACAATGAAATTCTAGGTTACCCAAATCTAGTCGGTCTGTGTACGTTAATATTTGATCCAGTAGGAATTGGACATTTTAAGTACCTCTTCATTTCGCCTCTTTTGATCCTCAATTTCTTCTTGTTCTTCAAGTCTGTCTTGAGCGCTGTTGTTTATGTGGATGCTGGCGGCACCTTGAAATAGGCTCATTCCGGGACCTTCCATAGTCTGTTTAAATAAATAATTCCAAGAGCTAAATGCAAATATTAGTAGTAGTCACTAAATTAAATTTCAACGGATCTATTTACTATTTATTGAACAGTTTGATATTTTATTTTCATTTCACTCGTTGATGAAATCACAAATCTTGCAACATACATTTTTTACCACAGACAAAAACAGTATAACAGTAATAATATTTTTTTGGCTTGCACTTATTGCGATGACGACGACAAAGAACGCGTGCGTTTTTTTTTACGCCTCTCGACAAAAAGACATCGCGTTATTTAAATGACTGGTGCGAGAAAGAAATAATATTTTTCGCGTTTCACTTTAAATGTTAATCTAAGCTACGCGGTACGGTAAATAAAACTTTTTACATATAGTTGACTGGCAAATTGGCAATATCTGGCAATCTTTTTTTGTTTATGGTATAACCTTAAAGATTAATTAAATTTTGCCAACTTGCCGGCTATATTGTATTATCTATGTTGCCAAGGATAACACGGATAACAAGGATCACAGATAACCATTCGTTTTGTGTTTCTAGGGTTTTAATGTTTTACCTCTTTTTAAAGCACTTCAAGCTTGACACTTTGAACTTTGGACCGTTCTTATCTTAAGCGGCATAGAGTTCGATTTAAGTCCTAAGTGTAAAGCTTGACGTGCTCTTGACCCTTTACAACAATTACAACTATTGGAGATGATTTTTAAACCCGTTACACATGTTCTATTTGATATGGATGGATTGATATTGAGTTAGTTTTTTCATTTTTTTAGTTTTTCTTTTTATCTTGGTTATTCTAATTTGTGCTTGTGCTCATTCAATTCCAATCATGTGCTTCATCTTACAGATACAGAAAACCTGTATACAATAGCATTTCAAAATATACTATCAAGGTTTGGCAAAGATTACACATTCGAGCTGAAGCAGAGACTCATGGGCTTGCAATCACTTGAAACGGCTAAACTCATAATAAAGGAACTGGACCTTCCGATGACTGTTGAAGAATTTCTTGAAGAAAGCAACAAAGAGTTTGAAAAACTTTTTCCAGACACTCAAGTCTTGCCAGGTATGTTATTTCTGTAAAAATGAATTTGTGTTGAAAAATGGTAGTATGGGTACTATTACATCTTGGGACCTATAATAGTTACAATATTGATAGGGCTATCAACAGTATCACACGCAGACACTATTGATGTATCATGTCTAATAGTATCAAAGTTATGTATTGCATCAAGCAATACCAGTGTTGAATGGTTTAATATCCTAGGTGGAATATCAATTCCCTAATAAAGAACAGTAGCCTTTTTTTTACAACGAAGCACTGCAGAAGCCCAGAATGAATCCATCCTGTTAGTAATAATGGTGTTTTCTTCATGTAATGTTGCCCATGCAATATCCTCACACTTAATGACACCCTGTATTTTTTAGCTATGAAACTGCAAAAATATTCATTACCTTGTCAGTACTACCATATAGAATCTTTAATGTGGCAGTCGTCTATGACTTTTTTTAATATCCCATTAATATCTATATTATGGACATAAATTTTTAGAAGACATTACTAGGACATGTAAATTTTTTGCCAACCTTTCCTTTACATGCTTTTTTTATGATAATAAGTGATGGGATGAATAAGTTGTGTTGCAGTGTTAATATTAAGCAACATGCCTGTCCATAAAGATTTCAGGGTCATTCAGAGTTTTAAATCGCAAATATCTGATGGGGCACTACACCCTTCACCCTGAGATATAAGTTGAAAAGTTCCATGTCCATGTAATTTCACCAGCACCTTTACCTTTCAAAACCGAAACATAGTAACGCTCACATCATCATCCTTGATAGCAGAAGTAGGTAAGGTAGTACTTTCCTGGACAAATCGCAACTTACAACTTTAAAAAAATTTATTCTTTTGATGTTTTGGAAGTGTGTCCAGATATCCATATTTTTTTTTATTTTTATTTAATTATGGTATTAAGCCTGTGGGTGGAATCAGGCTGTGGGTGATGATGATATAGTGCAGCAGGGCTAAAAAGGCTGTATTGGTACAATCTTAATAGGATTAATTGAATTATGGTATTTCTTACAATTCATATAACGCAATTCATCTATATGACAGTGTTCTATGGAGGTCTCTATAGAACACTGTAAAATAGGTGAATTGCGTTTTTCGTTTTGTTTGAAAATTCATAATATTAAGTATCAATTAATCATATTACGATTTTGCCAATGCGGCCTTTTTACCCTGGAGATCCTGATATCCAAGGAAATACTATATATACTAGGAAATATTTTTAATGAATAATTTTTTTTAGGTGCTGCTAGACTAATAGAACATTTTTCCAAACACAAGGTCCCAATTGGCCTTGCAACAAGTTCTAGTTTAGAGAGCTACCATCTTAAAACTGATAAACACCATCAACAACTGTTTTCACTGTTCCCGTACAAGACATTTGGGTCATCAGAGCCAGAGGTGAAAAATGGAAAGCCCAGTCCAGATATATTCATTGTCGCAGCCTCTAAGTTTCCACAGCAACCAACACCTGATCAGGTATGTAAATTGACTGACGCGATAGAAATGTCTACAAACGCAATATGCCAGTGTATATTTTCTGTCTGTAGCATTTTTAAATCTGCATATATTGTGTTAATCCAATTTTCACCATTCCATCCATTCCAGTTTAAAGCAGTTCACAGCATGATTTTTCATTTAAGGACATTTGTAATAATATTTTATAATCCATCATTATAGTTCTTCTAAGACCCGCCAAATTTTGTTGAAAATTATATATATATTTTTTCGCAGTGTCTTGTCTTTGAAGATGCTGTGAATGGCGTGAAGGCAGCTAGAGCAGCTGGCATGCAAGTAGTCATGGTGCCTGATCCCCGTGTGAATAAGAAGGACACTGAAGAGGCCACACTTGTCCTGAAGAGTTTAGAAGATTTCAAACCTGAACTTTTTGGGTTACCACCATTTGAAAATGAACAATAGTTAGGTTGGGATTAACTTAAGGATTTATTGCTATGAGAACCAGCTTAAACAATGTGAACTTTGTTTGCGATGATATTTGTTTTATAATAATAAAATGTTTCAAGGTATGTTATGTTACTAGGTTATTGGTGTAATTGTTGGTAATTTGTAGCAGGTGGTAATTTGTTTATGACGTTTTTATTTAGCACACACATAATAACACATTCAATAATTTCATTTTGTTGCTATTGCATTTCCACCATTTATACAGTATCTTTTTCAGTCACAAAATTTTGTATTATTATAATGTTTTAGGGACCAGCTTATGTAAATGTTTTTATTAGATACAATAAGTTGAAATATATAAGTCCGATATGTTATTTTAATAACGTAATTACCATTAATTCTACTTATGTTTAATCTTGTTTCATTACATTTCACTACTAAGTTATTGATAAAGGTATAAAGCCCTTGTCCTTGAGATCGGTGTTCTATAGGTATGTAAGTTGTTGTACTAAATTTTGGGAAATGTGGATTAATATCCAATATCGTTTTTTTCCAAACTTACTTCTTTCAACATTTAAACTTTTGTAGTAGTGGTTACATCATTATTTTTAATGAAAAATATTCGTTTTGTCCTGTCCGTTCATGGACAGTATTTGAATGTTACTGCACACAAAAAGTCACTGCTTTTCTTTGTGACATAGTGCTTATATTGATCAAATTTAAAATTTGGAATGTAATTTGAAATTTACCATGTATCAACAATGTAGTAAACATTGTTGATACATCTCTATGGAGAAGCAGTTGGCAGTAACTATACTACAGTGAATACTTGGAAATCGCATGTGAAGCCCGTAGTTTTGAAATCTATATTCTGACATTTAACTTTACGGTAAAAGCTATACTGTCCACAGACGAGTTAAGTTGACGGAATTCGAACAGTTTTAACGTGTTAATAATAGATTTGATTCAGGGCCTGTTATAACACTGTTGATAAACCTGTTAATACCTGTCTGAAAGACTTTTAATACTTTTATCATTGAGTTTAAACTACCTGTAAAACATAATCGGATGATTTTGCTAAAGATCTTGATCTAAAGCTGCGAGGAAACTAAGTAATGAAATTACGTAAAATATTTTATCTAATGTAACTATAGAACCTGTAGAGTTGTTTACTGTTATAACTATAGCACAGGCCACACCGCGAACGAAACCAAGCGAACTTACCTTAGCTTACGGAGTTACATGCAAAGCTAAGCTAAGAAAATACATAGTAAATTACGTGAATATAGTGACGTGCTACACTATGGATAATATGTTCGGAGAGAAGGGCGGCAAAGAGCAACACAATGTTTTACATAGCTTAGCGGGATCGTTAGGTTAGTTTAGTGAATAAATGCCCCGGTTACGTGATTATTTTTTTACCCGAGGGAATCTGCTTCCACATATTATACGTGGGACTGGGCTGAACCCTGAAGGGGAGCAGTCCGACCGCACTAAACCACCGGGATGTTCCACTCAGCGATTGCGTGACGGGCTGTAGCGTTTCATGGCCCGTCGGCGGTCATCCGTTTCCGGATCCTCAGATTATCGGGTGGGGGGAGGGCAAAGAATTACAGCCCCGCGAAGTGTCGTCCCCCGGAAGACATTGGGGGCGCGCACCAACTCGAGATCCCTCAGAGAAGGCGGAAGAAACCTCCGTCCACCACCCAATGGCCCCCCGGCTATGTGATCTAAGCCAAGTTAGCTTAGCTTCGTTCGTTGTGTGGCCTGCGCTTATGTATCTTAACCATCAACCATAGTTACAGTTATGTAAAGAATGATAAGAATATATTAGTACAGTGTTGCATCATATCTCGTAAGAGGAACACAGAGTGCGTAGTTTGAGATGTCAAATTAACAAAAAAAAATTAAAGTTGATAACGCGCTGTTTTACGAGCTGAGCTGAAACATCTGTGATATTTTAGAGTCGAATAAAAATGTCTTATAAACCAGTGACACATGTTTTATTTGATATGGACGGATTAATATTGAGTGAGTGCATTTGGCAGTGGAAAATTACCTTGTTTATTTATAGTGATTCCAATTTTACGCTGTCGCGGTCAGTTACGTGCACGATAATGTAATTTCAGCATTGAAACAAATCGATCTGTTATTCTTTCGATAAGGTTGCTTTTACATAATTTATAGTGATTTTTATGAAATTTTTCCACACTGTCATGCGTAATATTATCTCACGTAATGTTTTTGATTTTTTTTTAAATCGTCTTACAAAACGCAGTTATCAATCATGATGTTCATACTTTGCAGATACGGAAGATTTGTACACGATAGGATTTCAAAAAGTTGCTACTCGCTATGGAAAGAACTTTGACTATACGTTGAAGTGTAAGATAATGGGTCAGCAGAGTAAAGAATTTGCAACTTCTATTGTAGAAGGTCTCGAGTTGCCCATGACTATAGACGAATTTTTGAAGGAAACTCGGACAATTTTCAGTGAACTTTTCCCGCAAAGCAAAATTATGCCTGGTACGAGTGCAGTTGCCAATACTTACCTAATTTTAAACTGCGTACTTAAGCTAACGGTTGATGCTTATTGCAGGTGTTGAAAAACTTGTTCGTCATCTTCATGAAAACAATGTTCCTATAGGATTGGCCACTAGTAGCAGTAAGGAGACGTACGATTTAAAAGTAACAAATCATCAGAATTTTTTTAATTTATTACCATACAAAACTTGGGGTTCTTCGGATCCCGCTGTGAAGAGAGGTAAACCCTACCCAGACATATTCCTCGTTGCCGCTGACAAGTTTCCGGACAAACCTGCTCCAGAGAAGGTATTGACTGCGTCGGAATTTTGAGTTCCGTTAGAATGTAAGGTCAACGGCACATCTCCTTTAACACAATTTAAATTCATTTGTACTCCACTTACGATGTTACATTTACCACGTTACATTGTAGCTCGGCGTGCTGTTAACTGTACTTACACGTCGGTAAACCGGATCGATCGTGTTAGTCGAATGTTTTTCCAGTTATAAGTAGGTACCTACATGAGAATTTATATTAAATTATGTAGAGTTTACATTTGCACTGTACACATACGAGAAGTGACTACCTCTAATCCGTATTGAGATTGGGCATACTTTATAATAATAAGACCAGTGTGCAACCGTGTATTATCTTTGTATGGATTGAGACCTTTATAGAGCTTTAATTTTATGACAGGAGATAAAACTAGCAGTAGAGGTAGTCTGGAGATGCACATAACCGAAGGTGGTTGACTAAGTATATAAAGCTAAAGGAAAATAGAAAACAGAGGGCCATTAATTAATTTTTTTCAAAATACCGAGAGCGTTAACCGCAGCCGAAAATACGGTAAATGTTATAAGTTTTTTATTTCTTCCAGTGCCTGGTGTTTGAAGATTCGCTGAACGGTGTGCGTGGTGCGCGAGCAGCCGGCATGCAAGTAGTTATGGTGCCGGACCCGCGCTTGGATCGCGCTCTAGCCGCAGATGCTACTCTCATACTTGACTCTATGGAGGACTTTAGACCAGAATTATTCGCACTACCACCTTTCACTAATTGATATTTAAATGATCTTTCAATTGTGTAAGGTATAATGTAGATACGTTTCGGTAGCTTATAGAATTCTCGAGTCTGCGCAAGAACTCTCCGGTAGACGCGGGGCACGGCTTATTCCATTACCGAAAAATAAGTGTATATTTTTGGCTCATTTCCTTGTATTTCTTCAAACTTCCAAATATCATGTATAAAAAAGAAATTCTGTATATTGTGCGAAATCGGTACTGATCTCCGAGACTAACACAGGCATAACCTTCAAAAAATAAATCGCTTGTCTTCTAAACAAAGGGGCGACTAATTCTAAAATTGCGCGACTAGAACCGACAAATTCACGACTTCAGGGGTCCACTCTCAATCTCCGTCCGAAGCAATTACTGCCAATTAAGCAATACTTGACTAAATGAAAAGACGCGTGATGCGAATGAAGCTTCATACTTGATACTTGTCTTTTAATTTTGTTGAATATTACTTATTTGACAGCATTGACTTATTATTTGTAAGTCAATGTTTGACAGTAATTGTTTCGGACGGATGTCGGACGTATGTAGATCGATAGTAGACCCCCAGGTTCAACTAGGAGCTGTGGTTTTCGAGATTCAAAAATGGTGCCGCGCCAGAATAAGCTTATTTCAGGGTGGATAGTAAAACACCTTAATAACTTCAAACCGGCGTAACGACTAAACTTAGTTTTTTACGACTAGAACCGACTAAATCACGACTTTTTTTTAGTATAATCAGATTTAAGATAGGTCCTGTGGTTTATTCCTGCGTGGACATTTAAACACCCTTATAACTTTTGAATGGCGGACCGACTAAATCTAATTTTTTGCGACTAGAACCAACTAAATAGAGACTTTTTCTGGCTACCGATAAGTAGTTTTTCATTACAAAAATTAATATTTCAATTAGGGTCGTTATATTTTATCTTCAGTATTAAAAAGTAAAGAACATTATGCAAGTATATAATGTACGCATGGATCGAAAACAATTTAAAACAACGTAGGTACGTAATTAAAATTGATTTAAATAAAGAACTTTATTTGATATGTAGATAGGTACTAGGTACATATACACAGTATATACATATGACTGGATTTCATGAGACTTCTGTTCACATTTAAGTTCCTTATAACTAATAACTAAAATAGGTCCTGACCCAAAACAAACACTTTGACTAGCTTAACACGAACGTTAGCAATAAATAACTATTTAAGTGGTTCGGCCAATATTAGGTAGTAATATGAAGTTTATTGAATAACACGATGTTCTACTACCATGATATACAATTTTCATCAAGCACATAGAAAAATTCGTTAAGTGTGTTGGTTCGTTCTGTAGTCCATACCTCATGAAGCACAGAAAAATTCGTTAAGTCTGTTGGTTCGTTCTGTAGTCCATACCTTAGTTGGGAGAGCGTCAGCCACGGTATGCTGAAGGCACTGGTCCGAATCCAGCCGGATTGAATGAATTTTTCTTAGTGTTTGATTTTTGTATTAATAACAATATTAGGTTTACGCAGTAGTTCGGTTCAGCGAACGTAATATAACATTCTGTATAATATTTTGGCTCAATAAATGGTTGATCAAAAGATGGTTGATCTTGGTTTATAAAACTGAATCCTACAATTTTTTTTGAATCTGAATCCTACAAGGCTTTTTACATAAAATATTATTTTGCTATATACACTTACGGATACGCAATTCGACCCACCTTGCATTTTTATTTTGTATAAGGCTAGAATATAAAAATTACGTTGTTTTCCCCGGTTTTACAAATTTAAATTTTCAACAAGGACATACGGAAATGATGTTTATTATAGCAGCTATAAAATTGCATTCATAGATTTTGATATCTTTAAGCTTAGGGCATTTAAAACTAGAAATGCAAGGAGCCTCGAATTTTGTGTCCGGGGAATGCTATTTCTGTTGAGCGCATCTCTAGAGCCTCAGCACTATTCCCGCCATCACCATGGCAACCAATAATATGTATTTTAAGCATTGACTTACAAATAAATGGACGACGGGTCTAATACAAAAACCACGAAAAAAATGTCCCAAGTCCACCTATTCGAAATTTAAATTGTTATGTCATCGCAGTATCGCGCTGTCCGTAGAACAAATGAAGACTAAAGCGGAGTGTCGCGCTCTGTATACGATTTTAGCGCCTTACAAGTGCGGACACTTTTTAGCGCGGACCCGACGTTCATATAATTGTAAGTCAATGATTTTAAGATTCTCAGTGGTGCGCACAAACTAAACGATTGGCAATCTCAATGTTTTCTAATTCGTATATCAACCTAAAACAATGTTTGCATGGTAGCAGAGCGTATAAATAAATAATAAATGGTTAATTATTTAATTGGGTTGTGATCCCCAACAAAAAATATATAAATGATTTTACATAAAATAAAAGACGAAGAAAATGGCGACTGCGGCAACCGCACTGCCAATATTAAATGAAAAAGCAAATTTCAGTAACAGGAAATTTCGTCTGAGATTAATACTAGAAGAAAAGCAAGTAAGTTATGTAATGGTAGAGAAAAAAAAGTGAAAATTTGCCCAACTACGAAAGGGACGATGTGAGAGCACGATCCATAATAGTCCAATGCTTATCGGACAAATATATAGACATTGTAAAAAAGGGCGAAACAGCAAAGACAATGCTGGAAAACCTTGAGGAAATTTTTGAAAGGAAGAGCGCATACAATAGATTTTATTTAAATAGGAAACTCATGACCCTGAAGTGGGAAAAAACGAGTCGCTTCAAGAGCATCTGATGAAAGTTGAAGCCTTAATAAATGATTTGGCAGCGATTGACGTGAAAGTAGACGAAGAATACCAAATTTGTTATTTATTGTCGTCTATGCCGAAGACATACGACCAAGTTATAACTGCAATAGAAACGATGGCGGCAGATAAGAAGTTAAATTATGAATTTGTAAAGTCAAGACTGTTAGACGCAGAAACAAAAATAAAAAACGATAATGATAAAACAGAGCAAAGAACAATTCGAGAATGCGCTTTCCAATTGTTATACTTGCGGGAAAGCAGGACATAAGCCGTTCGAGTGCAGGGCTCAAGGCCTAGGACGAGGCCAAGGACAAAGGAGAGAACCGGAGCGAGGTCGAGGAATGCAAAGAGGGCGTGATACTATACGAGGAAGAGGATTTAGAGGAGGACGAGGACAATCATATGGACGAAACCGAGGTTTCACTAGCCATCACCAGCGAGCGTCTACAGCGGAATTACAAGAAATACAGTAATCGCAAATTAGGTTTGTTGTAAGCGAAATACTGGCAAATGTGAGCGACTCTGGAGGTATAGAATTAATATGTAGTTGACTCGGGATGTACGGAACATTTAGTTAATAAGTAATACGAAAGGTATATGTCAGATATTATATATTTGGACCATAACATGAATATATATGTGGCAAATGGCCAATGTATAACTACAAACAAAAGAGGTAAGCTTAAAATTAAATACCAAAATATAACTATTGACACTTTAATTGTCAAAAATATAACTTATAATTTATTATCAGTGAAAAAGATAGTTGATGCAGGGTTTAAAGTAAATTTTACTAAATACGATGTACAATTATTTAATAGAAATTGCAATTTAAGCGGTGTAGAGTTGAAATGTGCATTGTGAGTAACGATAATATAGATGACTTATGGCATAAAAGATTAGGGTATTTAAATAGGAAGGGTCTTAACTTAATGAGGTTATCTGTTTCCGATAAAATTTGTACCCCGTGTATGGAAGGTAAAGCTACACGAAATCCATTCACGACAATTTTTTTTTGCACAATGCCAAAGCCGAGAATGAGTATGATCGCCGAGATGCTGCATACAGACATAGCAGGGCCAGTTAAACAGCCAGGACCAAATGGTGAGAAATATTGTATGACTATTATCGACGATTTTTCACATTTCTGTGTTGTTTATCCATTAAAGTGTAAATCAGGGGGTCTACTCTCGATCTCCATCCGAAACAATTACTGCCAAATGAGCACTACTTGACCAAATGAAAAGACGCGTGATGCGAATGAAGCTTCATACTTGATACTTGTCTTTGAATTTTGTCCAATATTAGTTATTTGACAGTAATTGTTTCGGACGGAGATCGAGAGTAGACCCCCCGATGCGACTGAGAAGCTGATTAATTATATTCTGAGATTGGAAACAGATTCAGGAAATAAGATCAAAAGAATAAGATGCGACAATGGGGGCGACTACACTGCGAACAAACTACGACAGTTTTGTGACGGAACAGGGATAAGGATAGAGTATACCGTGCCCTACACCCCTCAGCCAATGGCGTTGCCGAGCGGATGAATCGCACACACTGTGCGATAGAACTAGAACTTTATTAGCGGAGACTAAGTTACCTAAACATTTGTGGTGCGAGGCCATTCACTGCGCATCATATCAATTGAATAGATCTCCTACGTGGACTATAAATTTCAAGACCCCGAGTGAATTGTTTTATAAGAAAAACTATTTATCTAGACTAAGAATATTTGGTTCAAGAGCTTGGGCCACAATAATACCGAAACAAGACAAATTTGACAAGAGAGCTAAGGAAGTGAGGATGGTAGGATATAACACTCTGGGATACAGACATTGGGATCCAGAAAATGATAAAATAATAATACCACGAGATGTGAGATTTGATGAAGGTGATTTACAATACGAAGAAAAGAGTAAAAACGAAGAAACAAAGTATATATTACAGGAGGAGACGGAAGAGAATAAGCAAGGAGGAGACGGAAGAGAATAAGCAAGAAGAGACTGTCAGTACAAATGAAAAAGAAACTGAGATATTAAGAATGACAAATTCGGGAAGAAAAGTAATACCTCTGACGTCACTGTAAGATTATGAGACTAACATGGTTTTATATCTTAGGTGGTGTAGGAGGAGAGTAACATGAACAGTATAAGTTTTGTGAAAGTAAGAAAAGATTTTTATGTTGTGTAATAATTGTTTGATTTAGTTTTTAATATGTAACAAATGAGAATTGTATTTTACTGTTTTGCACAATCACGCAACTTATTTTGTGTAGGTATTATATTTGCTGAAGTTCAGAATTGCGCTTTTGTAGCAAATTAACAAATATTTAGTTTTAATTTGAGGAGGAGTGTCGAGCGTATTTCTAGAGCCTCAGCACTATACCCGCCATCACCACGGCAACCAATAATACGTATTTCAAGATTCTCAGTGGTGCGCACAAATTAAACAATTGGCAATCTCAATGTTTTCTAATTCGTGTTTCAACCTAAAATAATCTTAACAATTTCAATAACTGAAAACTTTCTAAAAGTGGGACAAAAACCTATCAATAAGAAATCATACTCTGAGCATGTACAGCCCTATGTCATGTAACAACCAACCATTGCATGTCATATATCAAATAGTTGGTTGTTAGTGATGAAGGATTGTACAGGCATAGTAGATCAAATAGTTTGTAAGACAAGCAAAAAGTTATAGCGATAAATTTCAAAACCATGACCACACTTTTTTTGTTCTAATTATAGAGATATATTATTAATCAAGGATAGGTAAATGGGTAGTCGCGTATTTACCTAGACTTCCAAGGAAGTATACAGAGTGGATAATAACTCTCTCTCTGAAATCTGCTAGTTATTGTATTGTATTTAGTTCTATATTTTTGATGTGTTATTATATTAGCAATTACTTTATTGTAGTAGTATTTACCAGAAAACTTTTGGAAGTAAAATACTAGATTTTTCCTTTTTGTTATTAAGCTTTCCTGTGTTCCAGAACTATGTATGATCAACTCTGTAGATTAGGCAAATGTATTTTGCCTGCTTATTATGTGCATTGTATGAGGAAAGTTAGTCAATAGATAAAGTTGGATCTTATAATCTTTGTTGTCTAGCTGAGTACAAAGTGTTAGTCATAGCCTGGTAAACCAAATAGCTCGGGCTTGAAGTCTTCAAGAGATTTGAGGACCAGAGTAGCATCTTTCAGTTGCTCGTGGTCTATGCGTGGATCAGGCACTACAACTACTTGCATCTTGGCTGCCATGGCGGCTTTTACTCCATTCACTGCGTCTTCCAATACTAGACACTGAAAAAAATAACACAAGTGACACAGGCTCTTCTATCACAATGTCATTGAGCATATTAAATGTTTTATTTTGACAGTTATCTTCTTTATGCTACTGAACTTATGAAACTAAGAATGTAACTAAATGCAAAGATATATTATCACTACAGATCATAATTGGCAAAGTATATTTACTTAAATTTCAAGTAATACTCATAGATGATCCTTGGGATTTAGGTAATATAGACTGCCTCTGGTAACATCTCTATTATCACCAAAGCTAATGGAACCTAAAACTTGATAATTAAAATGAATAAACAAACAGCTTAGACTTACATCCTCTGGTCTTGGTTTGTCAGGAAACCTTGAAGCACAGACCAAGAATGTAATAGGATCTGGTTTTCCTTTAGTCACTTCTGGATCTGAAGAACCTGCAGTGATGTGGTGGAAGCATTTAAGTAGTTCTTTATGGTTCTGCATTTTCTTGGCAACACTATCTTGGCTTGAGCTAGTGGCTATTGCTAATGGAACACCTTTCTTATATAGATGTTGGGCTAACTTTTGAGCTCCTGGAAAAAAAAGACAATATACTACCAGAACAAATATTTTGAGTAAATGTCTTTCAAATCAATCATATAAAAAAAATTATAGGGGTGAATTTAATAGAGATTGAAAATAAGTTATTATACATACAAAGATCAAACACTTAGAAAAAAATTCCTTCAATCCGGTCGGATTCGAACCATGGTCTTCTAGCAAACCGTGCTGAACGCTAACCCAACTAAGCCACTGAACGAACCAGTGGACCTCACGAACACACAGAAAAAATCCTTTGTTCTGGCCAGATTCGTTCTGTGGCTTAGTTGGCATAGCGTCAGACGCGTTTTCTAGGAGACTTCGGTTCGAATCCAGCCGGATTGAAGGATTTTTTTTAAGTGTTCCATCTTTGTATTAATAATTTATAACTAGTGGAGTAATTTCACAAAAAAATAGTTGAATATCAATTCAATACAAAAATTAAGTTATACATTTAAATATACTTAGTGAAAGAAGCAAAATGCATTCATTACAATAAGATAATTTACCTGGCATAAGTTTCACACTAGGAAACACGGCTTCATATATCTTATTACATTCTTGCGTGAATTCTTTCTCAGTGAGGGGTATGTTCAGTTCACGAATTATTTTGTTTGCACATTCCTGACCTCGGAGTCCCAACAAGCTAGCTTTCATCTCCCATGTAAATTGTTTCCCATATCGGCTACACACTTTTGTAAAAGTTTCTGTGTATAATTCTTCCGAGTCTGAAATACACATGACGTATTTAACAATTTAATGCCTAACCTCTAAAACTAAACTACTATTATGAAAACCGTAAGCTAACCTAAAAGTAAACCATCTAAATCAAATAGTACATGAGTTACTTTACGAAAAGACATTTGTATTTGGTTTGGTTTATAAAGAAACCTAGGCACGACGCGGCAATGGATAGAAAGTAAGGCCGTTGCCAACTATGTGCACAAACTATTATGAATATGAGATACTACGCTACGTACGTATGTGAACCACAAACCAATAGTACTATCTGTGTTATGTGTCCGATAGCTTGCAGTCAGGGGTGGTCAGCTTTCTAAGCGGCCAATGCCAACAATGGCAGGATTTGCAAAAAAAGAATAGTGCTCTGCGAAAGAATGAGATAGTCGGATTCATAAATTTACGAGCACGATTAAATAGTTATCTACCATTTTGGTACATTTTATTACTTGACGAATACAGTTTTTTTTCAATTATTTGTATCATAGAAACCATGGTGTTCTAATATGAACACTATGATTTCTGTAATATTGTCTTTGTTGAAGATTCTAATTTTCACCTAATTTTAGACAAATGAACCTTATGTTGACAATTATCACAACCAAATTTTGGTAGAACTTATGTTTCTGCGTGATGGCAACTTCTTCACAGTTGTCAGAGTTTTCAAATCAAGATGGCTACCATGAAAACTTGTGTGAGAAATTCTTTTTCATAAACTACTAATACCAGTTCTTTTCTCTGCATTTAGCAGCAGTTTTTGTGTATTTGCCGGTTTGTTATCGATTTTCTGAATTGCGAGATAGTGACTCGTGTGCGAAATTGACGCTTTTTGTTTTGTGAATTCGATAATTACGAGAGAAAGACTTCTGTGCGAAATTGACGCTTTTTGTGTTGTGAAACCTTACATTACGAGATAGAGACTCATTCTTTTTGCGCGATACTGACGCTTTTATGTTGTTTTTCCACCATGACTGGAAAAGGGATTGTTAAGTGCGCAAAATGCGGTATAACCTCAAAGGAAAATTCTTCTTTGACCTTTCACAGGTTTCCTCTACCGTCTATACATGGATCTCTAAAGTAACGTTCGTTTTTGCTCCAGCATTGACCCAGCAACTCCTTCAGCCGAAGGGCAAACAAAAGATGAAAGTTCGACTAGCTGCTCAAGTTTTGAGTCATTCCATTGCAGCAGGATTATTTGCCAAAGTAGCCCAAAGTAAGTTTCAACATAATATGTCTATTATGTACTGCCATCTTTCAAGCCTCTTTTCCCGACTGTCAAGACTTATAAAGAGGATCATGTTTTTCTCACGAGCTTGTGAATATGACTCATATCCATTTTTTTATGTTGCTTTATAGAGACTAAACAAGTAAACTGATTTTGACAAAAGACTATTAGGCATTTGATTGGTCGTAACAACGGTTTGTTCTAGTGTTACTACCAATATTAACGTTTTGTTGTGGAAAATTACAAAAATGCCAAACGGCGCCACTAATACCCATACTCATTTAAATGTAATAAGTCTAGAGTGTCATGTCATGTTAGATGAAATTCCTTTTAACATAAAAAGTTTATTGTTTACTTTCAGACGAATTGCCACAAGACGCCGTGTGGACCGCGAAGCTTATATCCAATATGGACAAATTATTTGACGCCATGAATGGTGACACGCCGGACAGAAAAAGGGGAAAAAAATACCTAACCAACATGTCCTCAACCAGCCCTCATTTAGATTTTTTTAATAAAATGAAAGTTTTTTTCACAGAAATGGAGTTTTTAGGGGCTAGAAGTAAGCCCCCATCACAAGATGGCTGGTTGAGGACGATGAACGCAATTGAGCGAATATTTAAAAACTTAAAAAAGTATAATATAAACACATTATGTGTCCGAAGGCTCAATCAAGATCGTCTCGAAAACTGTTTCGGGTGCATTCGAAGCAACTGTGGTTGTAATCCGAGCCCCAATTCAGTTCAATTTATTGCAGCATTAAAAACTAGCATAATAACAAATTTAATTAATAATAATAAAAACAGAAACTGCCTGGATGACAATAATGATATATTGGATAATCTTAAAGTGTTTCTTCATAAAGGTTGTAACCAAAAAATAAATGACGTAGACGGTTCTACACCTTTTCCAGCGGAAATTTCTGTTGAAGGTGTAGAAGAGTTAGATGTACCTCAGATTTCTGGAGAAATGCAAGCATGTGCATATGTGTGCGGCTTTATCGCAAGAAACATAACTATTAATTGCGAGCAATGTAAAAAAATTATGCTTGCTGATCTGAACACTGAGGTATGTCATTTATTTACATCATTTAAGGAATACGATGACGTAGCATGCAGTTTAAAATACATCCAGCCCAGTTTCTGTGAAATGGTTGAAAATGCTGCAAGATTAATAAACAATTATTTAAAAGAAAATTCACATAATGAAAAAATTAAATATAATTTATTTAAAAAATGCGATAATTTAAATAAAGATTGGCTGAAGGGGTGTGACGAACATTGTGAAATAAATTTTAAAAGAATAATTGATAGTACAGTTGTAATATGTCTGAAACGGTTTTGTACTGTCAAAAATCGAGAATTTGTTGAGGAAGCCTCAAAAAAATCGATGTTAAGAAAAATTAATATACTAAAACATGTTTAAAAAGGTTGTATTATTTCACATTACTTAAAAATTCCTGACATGAAGAATTTTCGTTTGATGTTTTTGTACAATATTATTTAATTTTTTATAATTGTGGCGAAACAGGACACGAAAATTCTATAACTTGATCGATACCGAAAATTGCAATTGTAAGCGTAATTGACAATTATTTAAATGGTACATTCAACATTTACATTTAATTTACAAATGTACTCATTTAATTAATTGTCAATTACGCATACAATTGCAATTTTCGGTATCGAAATATAAAAACACATGAAAACACTATTCAAATCTCCCGCGTTTTCAAAAGTTACCGATGGCACGAACGGTGGCGTTTCAAGTAAGCATTTTTATTGTATGAAGCTATCGTTCTTCCCTTTAGGGTAATATTGTTCTGTGCTTGCAGTGCACTGCGTGAAGTTTTCGAATCCTTCAAAGAAAAATGTTCAACTTTAGAATAGCTGACGTCGACGTAGATCTCGTCAAAAGGAACCCCCCCACCAATTTTCATTTTTAGGAAATCAAAGATTTTCAAAAAAATAATTTTTGAAATTCAATGAATTTTTTTTTAAATTTATTGCTGGCCATGGAAACAAAGTAAAGTCCTTCAGCCGAAAACATAAACGTTTAATTATATTTCTGTAAATATAGCCACCACAAAGAGGATAGGCAATTTAAGGCGGCGTGATTGGATTGACTCGGGATTCCTTAGAACGGGCCGATACGGGTATTTTAGTTCGAGATTCGTATAATTTCGCGTTTTAATCTTCGATTAAGGCACAATAGCACTATCCTATTCCACTTTAAACTAGATTTCACAAAATAATTGAAAGTCAAAATAAAAACGACACTTTTCCCTCCAAAAGGCCCAGAGATTTCATATATATATATATACAAAGTACTTTGTGGCCCAGAGCGAATCCTGAAAATTAATGATATTTGAAATTTTTTTTTAAATTTATTAAGGCTTTGGCAAGGCCATAAGCCTAAACATGAAGTTTAATTATGTTGATGTAAATATGGCCGCCACAAAGAGGATAGGCAATTTGAGGCGGCGTGTTTGGATTGACTCGGGATTCCTTAAAACAGGCCGATATGGGTATTCTACATCGAGATTCGTATAATTTCGCGTTTTAATCTTCGATTAAGGCACAATAGCACTATCCTGTTCCACTTTAAACTAGATTTCACAAAATAATTGAAAGTCAAAATAAAAACGACACTTTTCCCTCCAAAAGGTCCAGAGCGAATCCAGCAGAATCCAGATATTTGAATCGTGAGAACATGGTGAGAACCATAGAAAGAGTATAGAGAGATTTTTTTTATTTGGGTGTCTGACATTTAAATAGTTTAACAGCTTGGGACACAGTCTTTTAGCCAAACTAATTAGATATTGTAAAAATATAATAAATAATCTTAAGGTTTGAACATGTTATATTGACATATATAAATCAGACGTTATATGTTTATGATGCATTTAGACGTTGAAAACGTAAACATTTTATTGTCTTTGTTTAACTACTGCGTGCTGTCGTAAGCCGTAAGAGATAGCACTACATATACTAAATCTATGGCACTACATTGATTTATGTCAAACACGGGAATCGAAAATACGTATATTTTTCTGCCTATAAACCCTACAATAGTCCAAATATCTCAGTAAATTCGACTCATTTTAAGTAGTTTATTCATAAGTCTTGCCGAATTTTGCTTTGGTTACTTTAGATTGCCTGTTTGTTAGTATATTTTTAAAGATCAATGATTACATTATTATTATTTTTAAGGTTTACGTACAAATGAAAAAAGAAAGAAAGAATGGTTGGAAATTATAGCACTGCCGAACATAAACATTGGATCAAATACCATCTTCGTTTGTTCGCTCCATTTTGAAGTCAAATTTGAATAGAACTTTGAATGTAATCTAGTTATTACATTATAATGCAATTCCATCGTTACATTTATTGATAAATAATTTTACATTTAATTTTGATTAAAATGGCTCATTACTTGCCTAGTAATAATAGCCTAGTATTAATCATACTTTGATTACAGTAAACTATACTTTGCAAACATAAAAAATAGTTTCAACATTCAAGTTATACATTTGCATGTCGATATTGACTTGTCTATGATTATGGTACATACAACACTAAGGGTCGTATTCTAGAACTCTACTCGATGCTCAAGTCATGATTTGAGTATGGCTTAAAGCATTCGAAATCATACTCAAGTCCCTGCCATTAGGGTCGTATTTCCAGTGCTTGTGTTGCCAGTGCAATCCTGACTCGAGCATTGAATAGAGTTCTAGAATACGACCCTAAATCCGCCATTTGTGGTGGACATTTTTGGTTTAGGTATGGACGTTTATTCCGTAGGTATAAGGCAGCTCCATTCCTTTATTTTTTTCCATCCTTTAGGGGTTGGAACGATAATTTATCAGTGGTAGGTCAAGAGCACGTCAAGCTTGACAGTTAAGATTTAAATCCAACTCTATGTGGCTTATGATAAGCGCGGTCCAAATTTCAGCGTAGGGTCCAAAGTACAAGTGTCAAGCGTGACGTGCTCTTGACTGTACGTACAATAATGATATTCTTTGTGATATTCTCTTTTATGAATTCATCGTATTTGTTTAACCAAAAATATGTGATGGTACTTGAGGTACATCTTTGGTCGAAAGTTGCATGGAAGAAAAAATGGATCTATTTGAAAATATTTGTATGTTTATTTGTTTTGTAAACACTATTGCTATTCTTACACCGTTT